GCTTTTATGGGTGTAATAATCCCTCTCCTCTGCCTGGGAGTCCAGCCACAGCTCCAATGACCATCCGGATTAAGAGGGAGGTCTGACAGGAGGCAGGCTATCAGCTAATGCAGGGGGAGCTCTGAGAGCCCAACAGGACCACAAACACCACATTATGCCAGGGCTGTTCATACAAGTCACAATGAGGCGTTTGCTATAGAGCTGAACACATACAGCCAGCTCAGGAAGTGTTTGGACAACGACGCACTGTTCAGTGTTTTATCACCAGACTGTTATAATATTTGAATGTGAAACGATACGATGACCAAGAGGTTAGAGTGTCAGCTCTAATTTCAGGCTATTCAGGCATATCAAATGAACAAGCAAAGAAGTCCAGCCTTTTTGTTTTACTTCCCCCACACACCCTTTATTTCAGCTTGCCAAAATCTTTTATGACTAAAGATAATGTTCAATAAGTGTTTTCCTTTTTTGTTTTTATCTCAAATGAAAATTCCTTACTGTGCGGCAACTTCTAAAAGTCTTCAGCCCATCAAGATCAGCCGACTGTTGATATCTTATCATCAAGTATTTCTTTCCAGCCTATTCAGTTCGATTTTGTTCTGTTTGTATCTCGGAGTGTTCAGCTGTGACTAGTCTCAGCTGACTTCATGGCCATTACATTGTTCCACATACAAACTATTAAGAGCACAGAGCCAAAACAAAGCGTCTCTGTTCACACACTCATGGAGCTCACTGCAGAGATTAAGACACTCTGCACAGTATACACGCAGAGAAATAGGGGTATCATTTCTGTATCCAGAGGTACGTTTGTCTGAAAAGTACCCTGTAAGGTAAGAAAAAGGTACAAAATCATGGCTGACAGAAAGGGGTACATAATTGTACTTTTCACAAGCTTAAGGTACAGGAAAATGTTAGCACAAATAGAGAGAGAGCGAGAGAAATAGAGAGTTAGATTTATTGAAATAAAATAGGCTACTAGTAAATTTCCATTCAATTCTTGGTCTGTGTGGCCTGGGAATAATTTCATGAGCACAGAACTAGGGCGGTACTTCCAGTCAGCTTTTTTAATTTTGCCACACGGACGTTTCGGGCAAGACACCGTTCTTCAGCATGTATTGGCGAGTTCACAATGGATCTATTTGAGTTATAGTTTCCATTAAATCAAGTAGTTAATTGTCACTGTAGCAGAGTGAAATGTTTCCACTAGCCATTACCATTACTCCCAATTTTATTTAATTTAAGTATTATCACTGTTTTATTGTTAATCTATTATCTTATTCTTTGCATTGCTCCATGGGGACTCGTTTTTCTGTATTTATTTCACTTTATTGTATACTGTGGCCCTCCCTGCTGAGGTAGTGCAGCCCATTCTTTCCCCTGCAGTCTGCATTAAGTCGGCATTGCTGAAGCTTAACGAGTTTAAAACTAGATTTAGGCCGCCCTCAGTTCTAGCTGAACAATACAAAGAAAAGGTACTGAAAAGTGTTAAAAGATGTAAAGGGGCAGTGGTGGCCTAAGCTTGTGAGCGGAAGGTCGTCGGTTCAGTCCCAGAACAGGCAGGATAAATCTGGATGGGAAAAGTGACATCACCTGCACCACTGAGGTGCCCTTGCCCTTAACCCCATCCGGTTGTACAGGGCAGCTTCCAGGTATGAATGTGTAACAGTGCGAATGTGATCAGGGTGTTCCTGCAAAATGCTTCCTCTCAGTGAACCTTCCCTTAATAAATAAAGGTAAAAAAAAAAAAAAGTAGTTTTCATTGTCTTTAAGTTTGAAGTTTGGTTATGCCACATAAAGGTACAAAATGGTGTGTCGCTCCAGCTGTACTTCATTAGGTACCAATTCTGTACCTTTCCAATGGGAACATTTTTGTACCCAGACATAAAGGTACATTTTTGTTACTGGAGGTACAGAAATGTTTTGTTAGAGGTACAGAAAAGAAGGTACAAAATGTACCATTTTCAAAGGTACAGTGATTGTACCCTGCAAGGGTACAGCTGGAGCGACAAAGCATTTGTATCCTTTTAGGTCCATTCCTGCTACTTGATTTCTCAGTGTGTAGGTAGAAGAACTTAAAACCTTATTTATTTATTTATTTAGTCTCTACAAAGGGTAGGAAAAAATATATCTTGTGAAGCTTTTTGTGTGTCAGCTTTGCCTAAATTGTTAATTAAGTTTTTCATGTTATTGGTCCTTGCAAATATGGAACAGAAAATAACACCTGTGAGATATCTGTAAGATTTTCAACAAAAGTCTATATCATCAGCTTCACATAATCAGACAATTGTGTTGGATTATATTGTACAGGTGTTATGAGGCGAACCGCCTGCAGAAACTATATTAGCACGTTCAGATGGCTAACACAGCAGGACTAACGTGGATCTGGGGTTGCCCTGGTAGCAAAATTATGTACAAATGCTTAGTCCTTACTGCAGCAGGTCAATTCCAACCCACTTTGCTGAATATAATTCCCTCTTTCTCTCTCCCCACTTTCCTGTCACTCTGATCAGCTGCTCCTATCAATAAAGGAAATTTAAAATAAGCCCAATAAATAATAAATAAAAAAAAGACTACATTGCATCACATAGCGCCAGTGCTCCTCAGTACAAATAGAGCAGAGAATTCTAGTAGTCCTCACCGCATTGAGGGGCACACACCAGACTTGGATCACTACCTCTGACTCTACAGCTCAGGGCAGGACTTCAAAGCCAACATGCAGCCCAAAGTTGAGCAGCAGTGGTAGAAATTGTTCAAAGGAATGTAGCCTGTTTACTATTGACTTTGCAACAATTACCCAAGCATATGTGTGTGTAATTAGATAAGGCAGCCAGTTGTTCTCTAATGCGGCAAATCAAATTAACTAAAGATGCCACATTGATTTCTTTGTGTTCCTTAAATTATTCATCTTCACTTGCAGTGAACCAGCCAGCCAGCCACCAAAGAGCTTTTCTAGCTCCTCTATGCCACTGCTCCCTTTCTCCCTGCACACACTGATTGTTTTGTGAGATTTAGCCAAGTACCTTTTCAATATTTTTGCCATCACAATTGAACAAATTGACCCATCTGAAAAGAGAGCATTTGCAGTGTTATGGAAGTGCCCGGAATTCCCATTAACTGAGATTGCTCTGAGCTCTATCATTGTTGTCATGTACGTGTATGGATATGTGTGTGTGAGAGAAAGAGTGAGGGAGAAAATTTGCTTGCACGTGTGTGTGACGGCAAGCACAAGAATGCTGTGAGAATTCATGAAGCATGCAGGCTGCAGACAACCACGTCTCAGGCTGCTCCATTGACGTCCTGTTCTCTGGCATGTTGCGCACGGGGAGATCAATATGACCTTACCTCCACCACCCACTCCTTTGAAACTTAATTACTGATATTCAGCTACAAAGTCATCATAGCCTGGCTGTCAATATTCATTGGGGATCATTAAGGGCCTAATAAAAGAGGTTATTTACGGGCTGCTCTGCTGACACCGGCCCAGGTCCAGGGATTCAGCTCTAGCCATCTCAATTTGCTTCACCTCATTCTCTCTCTCTCTCTCTCTCTCTCTCTCTCTCTCTCTCTCTCTCTCTCACCTCTCCCATAAGCACTGACCTGAAAAAGAAAAATTGACAGCAGAGAAACGAACAGGAGAGAGGATGGAGGGTGAATTCTTCTGGCATGGCTTTTAATTCTCTTGGCTGTGTTTGGAAGTTTTTCAGCCTCTGCCAAAAAAACACTGGAGCCGCTATATCCCTAGCTTTGAACTTTGCTTGCCACTGACATCGCAATCAGACCCACAAAGGGATATTTCATGACATTTAGAGAAATGTCGTGCAGAGCCTTGCCTCCTTGCAACAATACAGTTTTAACTGCTCTACTCCAACATCAATTATTGTGTTTTCAAGGCTGCAGTGCTATTCTTCAGGTTTTTCCACAGAAAGTCATTTCATCAGTACAAAAAGCAACAGCATGAACCAACACAACTCCCATTCCTGACATTGTACAGCAACAAGGAGTTGTGTGATTGTGGGAGATTGCTATATGTTAATTCATTCAATAAATCAATAGCTTCACTGTAATTGAAATGGTTGGCCATCCGGTGTTGAGGCAACGTGTTGAGAACTGAAAAGTCGAACAGTGAACTCTATAGTTAAAAAGAGGTACTGCATCCATAATATATATATATACATAACATATATACATATGTATACACATATCTGTCTCACACACTCTCACGTTTCCCTTTTGACTCTCGCTTTCAGTCTCACACACACAAACATCCTTATATGCAAGCACACACAAACATGCGCGTGGCTCTGCAGTTTCCTCTTAGTGTCTTGATTAATATGGTCCACTTTACATCAGTACACTGGATGCCAATGCACACTGTGCTGCCTTCCCAGAGCAATTAGCGGAGGGGCTCCACCAGCGTTGGATTATCAACAACAAGATGCCTCCTGACGCGAGCCCTAAAGCCTGCTGACTTATTCATATGTGTTTACTTTAAAAGCCTCTGCCCTGGTTTTTGTGGGTGGGCTGCATCAGAACTGAATTAAGAACAACATCTGGGGAGAAAGGAGAGACAGACAGGCCCACAAAGAGGTGGCTGACAGAGGAGAGGGAGGGGGTCATGCTGCATGGGGATCTTGTGGTACAAATAAAAATGGAAGTTGATTGGGAAAATAAATTGATAGGAGATATCAGTGCCAGTCAGTGCAGCTATAGATACACACCACACCATACACACCTGGATCAATTATTAACTGCAGTCAGTTGGTTGCTGCTGTGGGTTTGTACTTTTGCTGTTGTGGGTATTGCCAAGCAAGATTAATGAATTCTACAGTAGTGGCTAAAACCCTTTCACGCAAAAATATAATCTGTGACTGATACTGTTATGTTTTGTTTTTAGTGTTTATATGTACTTCCTATTCCCACATGAATGTGAGAGCATGAATAATTAAATGTACTGTCAGAATCTCATTAAACACTCACGTCTGTTTCTTCTCTGTCTGTAGCGATCCCAACAAACCGGTTCCCCAAGACACCAAGTTCATCCACACCAAGGCCAACCGTTTTGAAGAGGTAGCCTGGTCCAAGTACAACCCCCAGGACCAGCTCTACCTGCATATCGGCCTGAAGCCACGTGTCCGTGACCACTACCGCGCCACCAAAGTGGCCTTTTGGAAACACCTAGTGCCCCACCTATACAACCTCCATGACATGTTCCACTACACCTCCACCACCACCAAAGTGCCCCCGCCAGAGACCACCCAGAACACCTTGTCCACCAAGAGGCCCAACGGAAAAACCTCCTGGCCATTCAACACCAAGCGGCCTCCCATGTCTCCGGCTTACAACAGTGAGGACAAAGACTCTTGGAACGACGACGAGGAGACGGGGCCACTGGTGGTGGAGAACCCGCGGGATTACTCCACAGAGTTGAGTGTCACTATTGCTGTGGGAGCCTCACTGCTGTTCCTCAATGTGCTGGCTTTCGCAGCCCTCTACTACCGCAAGGACAAGCGGCGGCAGGACTCCGGCCATGGGCAGCCCAGCCCGCAGCGCCAGACCACCTCCAACGACATTGGCCACCACGCGCCGGAGGAGGAGATCATGTCGTTGCAGATGAACCAGACACACCATGAGTGCGAGGCAGGGAACAGCAACGAGGGGGCACTGCGCTTGGCCTCGCTGCCCGACTACACGCTCACTCTACGGCGCTCTCCGGACGACATTCCCCTCATGACCCCAAACACCATCACCATGATTCCCAATTCCCTGGTGGGCATGCCCAACCTGCACCCATACAACACTTTCACAACCGGCTTCAACTCTACCGGCCTGCCGCACTCCCACTCAACCACCCGCGTATAGCTTTAAGGAGGCCAGGGGCAGCCAGCGCAGGCGGGGGAGGAGGCGGTGGTGGTGGAGGAGGAGGAGCAGGAGGATGAACGAACGGAGGAGAGGATTGTGTTTTATAAATATCACAGGGAGAGGGAGGGCTGCAAGGGGGAGGGGAGGGGAAGGGCATGAGTCGGATTAAAACGTGAAGAGATTTAACTAGACTTTTACTACGAGGAGAGTTGCTGAGAGCTCTCTATGGATGTCAAGTTGTGCAGAGCTGCCAAAATCAAACTGCTTCCCTTCTCCTGATCGGGGGAGGGGGTCTTTCTGCAGTGTTTTTTTCTAAAATAATCATTTTAAAAGCCTTTTTAAGCAGACTGAGGAGATATCAACACTTTTTTTCTTGAATTCATAACAAAAACAAAGAGAAGTGCTTTTTATTTCCCATCCCTTCCTCCTGCGGGAGACACATCTCGAACAATGGCCTCTACGTCAATATTCGCAAAATGTTTTTAATTGCTTCTTTGTTTTGTTTTACGTTTCAATGCCTTACAAAGCTTGTTCTTTTTGTCTTTATTTCTATTCCCTGAGACTATTCCAAGTGGAGTGTGTTACAAGCCGATGAGACTCAAAGATGAGAGACTGAATCCAGGATGGGAACCTAGAGGATATGCAGATGTAGAGATTTTAAACCCATTTTGGGCAACTCATTTTTTCTTTTCGTTGCGTACCAACACAACAACCACACAAATGGTGTTATCTTTTTTTATCTCGTATAGAAATAATTTGTCTGGGACAGCTCTTGCCGGAAGATGAGAAGGCAGAGATAAATACTATGTTACTGTGATTGTTTTGTTAAGAAAAAAGTGCATCTTTTACAGCCAATTTATCTGTTAAGCTATCTGATATTATCTCCACAAAGTGTGCACGTACACATGCTGCTTAGAGCACCTGTGTGTTTGTGTGCATGTGAAAATGATCTATCGTTTCTTGTGTGCAAGCGTGGTTAAGAGGAAGAGACACATTGTCGGAACTTGCAAAAGCAAGAGCGGTGAGGGAATGAGTCTGTATGTGTGAGTGAGAGAGTGTGTGAAAGAATGTATGTATGTGTGTGTGTGTGTGTGTGTGTGTGTGTGTGTGTCCGTGCACCTGTTTTTTTGTTTGTAGGTTGTATAATGTGGTTTTTCGGGGGGGGCTGAGTACCTTCTCATGTTGTTGATTTTGGTTCACCACCAGTAGTGTTTCTGCTGCGTCTCTGGGTGTCTGTCTTTGCGAAATAGCACTTTTGTTATTTTCAAAGTTATATATGTCTAATTTTGCTTAAAGATTACAAAATAAATCTATTATTTTACGTGTAAGAGAAAAAAAATAGCTAAAGATTCAACTGAACTAACTGACATGATTCCATTGACTTTGTAAGAGATCCTCTTCAAAAGCAGACAGTGGCCTGTTTGCACTGAATAAACCTACATCAGTGCACACTTGTATTTCTTTGAATATATATATATAAATATGGGCATACATACATATATGTATAGGGCTTCTATGGAGATATCACTCCCATTTAAAAAACAATTAAAATACTGTTCAGACTACAAAGCACCAAGACAAATAATTTCTATGTATTGTTGTTGTCATTTGAAACATCACACTAAGCCAAGACCGCTCTAGGTGTCTTTGTAAGAGCTCTATATGTATATTTATGTATAAAATATTTAATATTTATTTATGTATACCAGATGCATACATGCTGATTGTGCCATGTGCCAAATTAAAACTGTAAAAAATGAAGAATATAAAGTTTCACAAAACTTTTTTTCTCTCTTGATCAAAGTTATTTTCCTCCTTTTTATGACTTTTTATTATTTCCATTTTGAATGAGTTAAAAAAGAAATATTCTTGCAGCAAGTGCACTCTCCCCCCAGGACTTCCTGTCTACCCCCCTCCTCCTTTCTCCCCTCCTCCTCCTCCTCCCTCTCTCCTTTTCTCTCGCTGAAACCTTTGAGAAAAACAGGCTAACAGCTTGGGGCCTATCTGCGTGCGTAACTCCAGATTTTGCTGTAATTCATGCAAAGTAGTGCTGCAGCAATGGGATATTGTAAGAAGATTGCCTTGATGTACTCACATTGCATTCTATTATATGTTATTCTCGGGGAGAAAACTGGAGTTATTGATTCTGCGAGTAAAACTGACAATTTTCATTAAGTATCTTGGCATAGTACAGATTGTCTATTGCGTTACAGCGCTGTACAGTAATGCGACCTGACCAGTGATCCCAGATCAGTGTTTTACCATTCTTAGATACTTCATGCACATAGACCTTAACATTTTTATGAAGTATTCCATTACAACTTCCCCTAGTATTTAATGATTGGAGATGCAGCAGAGCAAGAAGCACAGTCTGGTCAGCTCATCACTGATCCTGCCAGTAGAAGAAAGAGAGAAGGGGTTATTTGAGGCAAATTGCTGGGAGACTGATCTATATGAGTCATCTTGTTTTTGCTCATCCTGCCTTATATGGGGCTCACCTTCTAATCAGTCACCCTCTTCAACTGAGCCGCAGCCACTAAGAATGAAACAAGCAGTTGGTTTCTACCTGGAGCTGTCTGATACATACAGAAATGTTTAATAATGCCTCTGTGCTTGTGCTTGTGTTAGGAGTAGACTATGCAAATAGTTAGACTTGTTTCAGTAGCAATAATATCAGTGGTGCTTTGTTTTCTGGCATAAGATGAGCGCAAATTTTTTTTGCACTCCTGAAGTACATGTGAGCTGTTCTTAATGGAATGTGTCCTTAAAAATTTGATTCACCCAAATTACCTAAAAATATTTTTTTTTTTTGTTTGTTTTTTTATATTAACTGACCTATTGTGGCATCTAACCATGCCGATAGTTCTATTAGTTAGATAGTTTTATTTGTCAAGGTTTTGAGAAAGTTGTTTCTTTCTGCGGCCTCGCTAATACAATGAAAGTGAATGGAATTTCATTTGAGGTGCTCACAGCACATTTTTTTAAAAGTCCAAAAATATGACAACTATTTCCAGAAAAATTAAAAACATCCTTGTTACAACAGACAATCCAGAGAACACTCTCCTCTAACTTTTGTTAGGGACTATTTCTTTGTTTGAAAGTAGTCCAATAAAAAAGGTGGTGGAAAAGACAAGTTGCTATTGAATTCTTTAAAGCTAATTTAATCAGTATTTTTATTCTGACAATGGTTCAAATGACTGGTTCAAGGGGTTGCTCATAGACTCTGCAGTCCTTTATCAGCTCACTTTAATGCTAAAGTTGTTCTGTATCTGCTGGGTGTGTAAATAAGCTACTGTTTAGCTAATAAGTTTGCCATGTCAACCGAAAAGGTGACAATATGTCAGTGTTATCAAACCAATAATTTTAATGTTGTTAGCACCACAAACTTTTTCATCCCCCATTTCATGCAGTAAATATTTATTATTTATTAGAAGCAAAAGCAATCCGCTGCTGAGGCCCATACGATGTGGCTGAAACCTCCTGATTTGTTTGTCTGTAATTTGGGTGAACTGACCCTTTAAGACACGATCTGAATTAAAGTAGACTGTCCCCTCTTCTGATCCGTCTGCAGTGGTGGGAGGTCAGTTTCCACTGGCTCCGACAAACACACACACATGCACATACACATACAGTGGCACAGGGCTAAAATTGAGTGGTGAAGTTGAGAGTGAACTATCAAAGGGAAGAAATGTCATGGGAGGGCAACTTGTTTTTTGCCATGTAATTTTCCCATATGCCGGTAAAGCAGAACAGATGTCACTGAGTATTGGCAGGGGTAGACCTGGTGGCCTCAGGGACACAGTTTGGGATACATGGCTCTGTGAAGAGCCACATAATTAAGTGCCGGACCAAAGGGAAAGACCATGGAAAGTGCAGTAGTGTTGTGCAGCAAGAGAAAACGGGGTCAAACTCCTTTAGCAATCAGACACCTGATGGCCCGATGAAATTAGTCCAAACTTCCTGTGACAAGAGTCACCACCAGTAGAAAGATGGGACAGTTATGAGCCAAACACTTTTCCACAGACAAGATTTGTTTGCAGTTCAGTGAGTGTGTTTCGAAAGTGACATCATTCAAAGATTGGCTGGAATACCCCGATGGGGTTTGTGACTGCCTCGACAGCACTGAAGACAAACCCAGCCTAGGAAATGGATGTGCCAAATTACACAGTGCCACCCGCTGGGAGAGAGCTGCAGGTGTGTGTGTGTGTGTGTGTGTGTGTGTGTGTGTGTGTGTGTGTGTGTGTGATAGAGAGTCCGTGTGTGCAGTATGTGTGTGCAGATATTGAGAATTTTATTTCTACCACAGTGAACGTGTTGTTACCTATATTTTCTCTCACCCTTTCCCTCACCCTCATTTCTCTCTTCCTGTGTCTCATCCGTCTTTGCTCTCTTCTTCCTTTTTTCATGCAGGTTTTTTTATCCTCCCTCGCACAAAACGCAATCTGAGCAGCTCTACCTCTGTCTCGCACAGACATGACTTGCTCATTTTCTCTTTCTTCTCCTTGGCAAGTGCCATAATCTTGACTACTTGCTCATTTCAAATCATTTAAGGTGTAATTTTCTTGAGTTACTATGTTTCTCTATGGACTAAGAAGCTAATTAACATTACTTATTGGGAAGCAGAGTAGAACCAGTCACTGAACCAAAACTCTTGTAGTTTAAATTTAAATAGCCTGTTTTTCTCCAAAGGGAAATCATCATGCATTTTGTCAAAACATCAATAATCTATTATTTCCATGTGAAAAATGCACTCTTGACAATTTTCTTTTGTATCCACAGAGTATAAAGACATCATTGGCATATGTTTCAGGTTTCATAACAAGGAGCATCATGCACTACAGCTTTTATGGTTGCATCAAACCCAGATACTGTTACTTATTTTTCACTAGAACCTAGGACTGAAATCAACAAAACCAATGGTCTTTGAGCTCAAATACATCATGATAAATCTCTGTTCTTTCAGTGTCATTGTACAGATTACTAAAGATGCCCTGTTACTTCTATGTTTATGTCCATAGAATGTATTTATAATCGCGCAAACTGGAGTAATCAAAATAAAATATCTATTCTTTCTGTATCTTATTGTGGTTCTCATGAATATAGAACATGACATCCATTTTCAGTGAGTGTGAGACCAAGAAGTTTGGTGCTGATAATGGTGTTTGTATATTTTTCATCCTATAAAATGATTATAGAGAGAGCACCGCAATCCAAGAGAGCATCTTTGTAAGGGCTGTATTTGAGTGCTCTGTTCCTACCAAAAAAAAAACCACCGCTTTTTGCATTAAAGGATAAGGACGGCATGTTTTATCTTTTTTATTATTATCAACAAATCCCACAAACGGACCAAAACCAACAATGAATTTATCCTTCTAACAAGTACTGACTATGAAGCCACAGCCAGATGTAGCATATGTCTCTGTGCTATGAACTCACCATCATCAAAAAAACATTAAAAAGACAGAAAAAAGCCAAACAAGAGCCAGACTGGTGCATTGGTGACATATCCTTTAATTACAATGAACACAGAGAGTGTAGCTCTTTCCTCATTGCTCGTCAAACCAGCAAAGCAAGGAGCTACATCCCCCAGCATGCTCAGTGACGTGTGCCCAACATGGAGCTACTGTCCAGAGAAAATGCTGCTGCCGAGTTGTTTCAAAATAAACTGGAGTATCATCCAATAGTATGGCTGTTTTATGTGTTTTTAATGGTTTTTGGATGACAATGGAGTCCTGTGGCACAGAGGCATAAGCTACAAGCTGTGGCTACACAGACAGCACTTGTTAGCAGGATAAATTCATTTTTTGGTCTTTTAATGGGATTTGTTAGGATTTGTTGTTGGGATAAAATAATGAGTGATCCATTAAATGCAGCTTTGGGTGGAACAAACTATAGCAGCATTGCAACAACGGAACAAGCTCAAATGTAATGTACTATTCAACTGTAAAAGAGGCTGGTTTGGTTTTTATGGAGGTCCAGTAAAGAACAGTAGCAGCCTATAGTTCATCTAGCACAAGCAGTCCCACCTGCCCCCGGCCTAAAGCTGCCTGTCGACTACATAATGATCTGCCCTCTGTAAGATGGATGGCCTGGAGATACCACTGAGGCTGCTGAGACTAAAGCGTGTATGCTCCCAGTGTGTGTGAGGGAACTAACAACAGCGGGAAACAAGCACATTCTAAGCCTCTACACGGTATCTATCCTGTTTCCTGTCCAGAAAACCCTGTTACCAAGAGATGCTACTTGACAGCATATTTTTTCTACTAGTTGGTCTAGTTCTGATGGCGGGATGGGGGAACAAGTTTCATGGCAAGATTCACAACTTCCAGGATGTTTCATTTCTTCTCTAACTCCTCTCATTATTCACAGCATTATCTTCCAGGTTCAGAGCTATTTTGCAAAGTCGTTCCTCTCCAGCTGAGGCCAGGCCCAGCGCTATCTCTCAGTTGCATCAGCTGGAGTTCACCATCAGATGGCAGTCCACTAATGCCTTTCTCAGATGTGGGTTACTGGTGGCAGGGGAAGGTTGCATCAGTGGACCTTTGGTGTCTGAACTCCTGGCCTGTGCTGCTCCGGTACAGACTACAGAAGACTCCCAGAGGCCTTCCGAAAGTAACTTATCACTTAGATCACATTACAATGACTTTCACTGGCACTAGTTTCATCTTAAGTACTAATCCAGGCTACCAGGCTTTTCACAGATCTTACAGATCAAATACAGTGTGAGTTTGACTTCAATATCTGAGCTTACTCCCAAAAAAAATCCTGCACCCTTTTTTCTGTGAAAGACTGGAAACATCCTTTGAAGTTAAGCCTATTTTTACCCCAAGAGGCAAAGACATTCATTTGTCAGTGATGCCTTATGTTAGTCCAGTGCAGTGAATTCTCCAATTTTTCTGACAAATTGAACAGATATTTGCATAGAAATGTTACCCAAATAGACCAAGATATTGTTAATACTTAATCATAAAGTTTGATAAACGTCTGACCTCATAAAACTTTTACAAAATTATTTTTAAAGATTCAATAGTTTTACTGATGGGAATCTAATTTGAATCCACCATATCTCAAAATGTCGGTTAATTTGCCTTCAGTGTTTACACAAATTGTAAACAAATGAATTACTTTAAAATAGATTTTAAGTTCCTGTTTTACGGTCAGATATTATTAGCTGTGGCACAAATATGTCCATAGCAATATATTAGAAAGAAGCATCATCTCAGTCACAAAAATGTTCCACACCGAAATACGTACATAGGAAATTGAGCAATAACCACGGACAACTCTCAAGTCAACTCCTGGATCCACATTTGTTTCTGTTTGCTCTACTGAAACTACTAACACACTGGAAACACTCTAAAGATGCACTGAGGCCTCCCTGTGTGACTGACAGCTTACTACCTTTGTACATTACAATAAAGAACATAATTTCTCCTGCCCACTAGGTAGCCCATGGCATTTGGTAAAATTATGTTCACTGTAACTTCCATTCACGCATCCAAATCTTCTCTCAGCTTGTTTCTACTTAGTGTTCAATATATAACTAGCACTTAAGTGCCATAATGCAATAATGCAATTAGAACTATATATGAGCTCTTTGATATGTTTTATGTTGTTTGCCTGGATTTCAGTTAAGAATTCTTGTAAATTGTCTGTCTGAGTTGAAAGAGGAAGCGTGAAGTGTCATCAAGAAATCCCCAGTCAGCAGTGATATAATGGCTCATTTGAAGTCCAGGGAAGACTGAAAGATTCACATTCTTTGGAAATGAACTCCTCTAGAAATAATTGCACTGGTTTCCTGTTGCATACAATGAGGTCTGCAGAGTCAGAGGGCAAAACAGGAAATTACATGGACATTGGTAGAGACTTGGATTTACGTCACAGGAACCTCAAAAATCCGAATAAGGCATTAAAATGATTCCATTGCAATAATGACTTTAAAATTAGGGATTTTTCTCTTGAATGAGTTGAGTAGCTTATTGCATTGTAGATCTATTTCACTTTAGAAACCACAGAGAAATTTAAGTTATTAATGCTGATACTGTGAAAGGTTTGTTTATATCAGTGATTTTTGTGAACACAGCAGAAAAACACGCCAATGGGTTTAATTATGATAAGTTAGGAAACAAAATGCTTTTGATTTTGCATCATTAAAGGAGACCTATTATGTATAAATTCTTTGTCATATATATGTAACATTACAATGTCTGATGTTCATAAACGTGGCCACATTTTCAAATAACGGGGGGAAACGTATGTAAAAGTAATCCCTGTGAGCAATTTCTTTTACGCAAGGAGCCAACGTCAGCTTGTTGTGGATTTTGTCATCTGCTCCAAGACGCACCCATCCACCCAATTTAGTCATTCAGCCACCCTGCGCCAGACTACTTTTTGGAGGTTGTTCAGTTTGTCTTGTAGAAACAGCTTTTTCGGCTGTGAAGGAAAGTAATTTTTCTGGTTTTCCCTTTGATGTCCTCCGACTGTTCTGCCTCAAGTCTTGGTGATTTACAGAGTTTCCTGATGGACAGAAAGCTTGTTACGCTGCTAAAGTAACCACTAACTACTGCTAAATGTAGCTGCCATTAGCTGCTACAATAAAGTTTTATAGTTGTGTTTTTGTATAGTCATCATGAGGCCCGGCCCCCGGAAACACTCTGCATTAGCCTCTATCGTTTTTCCATCTTAATTCTTCGTCAAATTTATGGTCCGATAAACATTGACTTCAATTCTGCACCCCAAATCACTATTTTCCAAGCTACTAGCTGTCATATGTCGTTGAGGAGGCAAGCGGATAAGATCCAGTCCTCACAAGAATTAGTTGCTCCCCTTTGGTAAGCTTCCTCTAAGAAAGAAGTGGTCTTTTAGGGCTTTAAAGGACCAGTGTGTAGGATTCTAGCAGTGAAGTTGTAGATAACAACTAACTGAAAACACTGCCCACGTCTGTATTTGACGACCTAGAAATGAGAACGGGCTGTGTGTGGGAGAAACCATGGTGACTGTGAGAAGTGAAAGCCCCTATCTACAGCCAGTGTTTCGTTTGTCTGTTCTGGGCTGAACCTGCGGCAACTGTAGATAAAAACGGTTCATTTAAAGGTAATCACATAAATTCCTATAGTCAGGTCATTATACACTATAAAACATAGGCTAACCATGAATATTATATTCCATTTCTGCCAATAGATCCTGGATGGAATGGACCTCTAAAGAAACAGACAATCCATCCCATAGTTGTTGAGACATTTCACTCAAAACCACAAATGTCATCCTCGAGTGGTGCTAGAGGAAATGTCAGGGTATCACTAAAGTAATTAGGATACACGCACTGGGAATGGTAACCATGATCGTCTGTATACATGGAGCCATCCCATATTTGTCGAGATGTTTAACTCCAAACCAAAATAATGGACCAACCAAACAACCAACCAACAGACTGACATTACATGCTATAGAAAACACTGCTAACATGGTGTTAGTAGTCTGTTGTTATGGCTGCTGTGGATCAGATCAATGTTTACTATCCAGTTATGTCACAATATGTAAATAACTGCTATATGGTTTTACAGTATTTAGGGCTTTCGTGAATATCTCACACGCCTTTGAAGTGGTGTCATATGAGAGATGTTATTTCACAGCACACCATCAACTCCTTTTATGGTTCAAGCTCCATGATCTGCCTTTGGTGAGTTCTGCAAGAATAACAAAGCAGTGATCTGAGTCCTTTATCCAGGCTCAGGGACTGGCCTCAGTTATGTAAGACCCAGTCAGAATCTGACAATTGTGTGTGTGTGTGTGTGTGTGTGTGTTGGGACGCGGGGTAGGTCGGGTGTGTGTGTGTTGGGCGACTGAGCCAGTTAATTCCTTGGGAGAGCGTTGTTAGCCTGGACCATTTGGGGAGCTCTCAGGGGAAAGGCGTTGCTCCAGTCTCTCATCAGGCAGATGACAGAAGACTGCGTGCTCTGCATGCTGCACTCATCTCGGCCATGATAGCCTCACTGCACAGGCCATATCTCTGCTTCATTTACTCATTGTCTGATAATAACAAGTGTCTCCTTTCTGCTATACTCAATTACATCTTCATTAGCCTGCTAACTAGCTTAAAACAAACCAGAATGGTGTGTAGAGATTTTAACTCTATGTGACATTTATTGCCAAGATGCCTGAGTCTATAGGTGAGGGACGAAAGGGGTACAACATATTTATTATGTCTTCATCTCTCAAGACCATTCACTGTCTCATCATAACATCAATTCGTTTTAATTTACCAGCTAATGAACTCAGTTCATTCATCATTTACTTTGTCTGTTATCTAAACAAGGCAACTGGCTGACATATTGGCCTCTTACTTTGCTGTGCTGCCAATCAAATGCCAGTCTCGTAGTAATTAGCTAAACAATGGGGAGGTGTTCCCATAAGACAAACTGATATATTACATCAGATCTCAGTGAAGAGCCATCTAATAAAAATCATACACCATAATTAGCTGCTGGTGACTTTTTGTGTACAATGAAATGACAATGTGGATTAGAGCAGGTAATCATGGCAGCAATGTCAAATACCAGACGGGATACAGATCCCTGGGAGACCGGAAACATGCCATATAACATGTAATATATAAGATAAAATATTCCTTTATTGGTCCCACAATGGGGAAATTCCAATATACATATACATAACACATATACACATATATATGGGGCACACAAAGTGAGGATTCCAATAAAATGCCTTTCAGTTTCATTTGTGCTACAGGGCACATTTCCTGCATTGTTGCAATTCCTCGCCATCGGTCTCTGAAAATAGGATGTGTCCTTCGTTTGCGAAGGAAGTTCCATCATGTCAAAGCCAACTTTGTTTGTTACTATCCTGAACAGCTGTGGCCTCAATCAGTCATCCTTGCCTTTCTCTAAGTGGAACAGACAACACAGGAGGAGCAGGTTACTCTACACCACCCTTGTGTATTTCCCTATTATCCGAACGCTCTCATTTTACTTTCTGATCTCTTTCTTCTCACACTGTCCCTCTTTGCTTTACAGTAATGTCACATTTTAAGCTCATTTGCTCTCACTACTTCACCCTTCTCTCCCTCTCTCCCCAGACCAGCGCCAGCTCTGGTCCCGGTCAGAGGGGTTAAATAGTTGGCCAGAGTTCAGAGCAGTGAACTTTCTGAACAAAGTGTCTTTTAATGAGACACAAACAGACAAGGAACAGTATCTTAAATGTCCAGCCTTCCTTCCTTTGACCACTGCCACTGACATGCAGCTCCACCCGAACAGTCTATCCATAATATATCACCAGGGTCGGTGATATAGTTGACTGGTCATATCAACCAGCTGTCTGGGGATCTTTAAGGAGAAAACAATTGACAATTCAATAAACTGCTGGGCCTTGACATCTCTGTTTCCAAAAGGGCAAAACTTTTCCTTTACTTTTCATCACCCTGAAACCAGTCTAAGTTTGAAGTGATTACAATAAGTTGTGTAGCAAAATATTTAAGAGATTTTTGACTGTTGGTTGTAGTTCCTCATTCTGTCTCATCCTCAACTCAAATCTGGCAGTTCAACAGACTAAAAATAATTTTGCATACTTCAGCTGGATTATACCACTTTGTCACAAGTGAAAATCACACTTTACAACCACAACATTCACCTCGACCTTGTCTGTTTCTCTAAGCAGTGTTGCTTTGACAACAAGGAGGAGAAACCTGTGAACGGATGACACATGGTAGACCTAAACTACACTGAAATGACAGCAGAGTATAAACACAACCATGATGGAAAAGTCACAGGAAGGAAACTGCTAAGATGCCTTTTTACAGGCGACTCAACCGAGGCAGAACAATTTCCTTCCTTCTGTTCAAAGCGTGGCTTTGTGGGAATAAGTTATAGCAGAGTCAAAGCCCCCGCATACAAATTACAGCACAAAGTCTAAATGAGCATTGTTTCTCACAGCACATCTGACGCACTTCCTTTTTAAGCTGTCTTCATATGGTGTCTGAGCTAAATTTGTGGGTTTCCTGATTTGGTGGCAGAAGTGAAACTCAAAGCGCAATCAGAACAGACATACAGGAAGCATAGGTACAAACAAAGAAGAATGGGTGAAGGGCTTCTGAGACATTTGGTGTGACAGTAGCAACAGTCAATTTATGGGATAGTGAAGGTGTAGGCACATTGAATATAATTTGTTGTCAGTGCTGTCAGGAGTATTTTTTAGAAAAGCGAAAGGCTTTCAACATTGTGTGTGTATATAGAATCAGATGTGGCCATCAAGGCCAGCAGTCTGTCTGCACTGAATCTGTAACAAGATCAAATTTAGTTTTATATATATCAACAAAAGAAATGAATTATGACATTCAATCAAAATGTTGCTTTATTTATATGTGCATTCATCTGTACAACAATTCATATTTAAAAAAAGAATATTAACAAGAACTGTACACTCGAAATGTCGTCACATAAATGACATTTGATATTACACAGCAGAGCTGAACCCCTTGGACTTTTTTTAAAACTAAAGTGCCATTAGTAATTTTGAACTAAACAAAGATCAGCCCCCTTTATCGAAAAATATGGCACTAAGGATTTAGGGCCCTTTACTGGAATAATACTTGTGGGAATTTTAAATGTGGCAAGAAATATGCTTCCTATACTTTCAGCAGCGTTTTTCTCTTCCTGGACAGATGGCAGCTTTGTCTAGGTTCAGGAATATGTCACACATCTTGGATCTGATGCTGCGGGGACATCGTCTTGCTGGCTGGATGCGGCGTCGCCATGGGGTCTGAGGGTGTTCTTGCATTTTGGAATAGAGTGCCCTTTTAATTTCTGATGTTAACCTTTTCCCCCGGAGCAGCCAGGGGAGCATTTTGCTCCCTCAGATCTGCTCTGGTGTAGATCTGCCTGTCTGCTCGGCAGTAGCCGGCCATGTCGCCCCCGGCCTCTTTCTCCCCCCGTCTACGTGGCTCCCAGTTCACATTTCTGCAGAAGAGAGAGGAAGAGAAAAATACAAAAGCTCAGAACATGAGAACAAGCACACGGGCATATTAACACACACACACAAACATGCACTGACTAATAAGTTTGCCTTGTAAAGATACAGGGGGAGTTACAATTCATTTGTACCCTTAATTCTCCCTGAGACCACTGATAGCAGAGGATGTATGTTTTTTTTGTGTTTTGCACAGGGCCATGCATGTGTTCACGGGCCTCTGAAACACCACTGCTTTAGTGCTGATAGCAGGACCCTGATGCTTGTGTAGTGAAGTCTGCTATTATCACTAAAGGTTGTGTAGATAGTCCACCTGAGTCCCCAGACATGGCATTTACACACAAGAGGTGCTCAGAGATAAACTGGGGTGGGAGGGGGCGGGGGGAGTACAGGGTAGAAACAAAGTGGCTACTAATACGCACTGTTTTTCAATGTGTACTACTCTGTCAGCCAGCTGGCTTGTCAGCTTAAGTGGAAAATGAATAAAGAAAACATTGAGTGATAGGGGTAGGGGTGTAATTCTCTTAAATTTGTACCTGCAAGTTCCTTGTCCAACATGTTGATAAAACTCTCAAGTTCCCTCGTGTCCCCCAGCTTTGCTGCAGAAAAAGGACAGAAAGAAAAAGAATTTGAGAAGCTATAGAGGAAAAAAAAGACAGCAGTGGAACATTTTTGTGGAGAAATGCGGCTCAGTTCGATGGTATTTCCTTTGGACCCAAAAGCTGAAAACTAATCTAAGTCCCAGAATTACTGTACTGAACCAAACTGCTTCTGGACAGGCAAAAACATTTTTAGCTTCTTTTCTACAAACTGAAATAAAACTGATCTTAAGCGCTATAAAACCTGGACAGCTTGACGAATCCAACCAGGATCTCTGTTGTAAATATGTTAAGGTATTCTGGGTAAACACAGACAGACTGAATGAGACCTCCCTTTTCATTTTCATCTATTGATATTTAACAGTACTCTGTGTCATTTAAACAAACCTGAGCCAGTCTCCACATAGCATAACAGCACAAATAACCCCTGCAGGAGACTTGGGGGGGGGGGGGTTGCAGTCACAGCGGCAGGGGCTTTGTTGTGTTAAAAAACAGAGCTCACAGCCTAATGTAGAGAGTTTTTTTTTGTAGCTGTGATAGTGATCAGAGCAAAAGTGATAGTGATCGCTGTAAGACTGAGGGCTATCTGGATGGAGATGGAGCTGATGGGAGACTCTAGTACCTTTCGGTGCCAGCGTTATGCCTGCTGTGTGAAGCTCCTCCTCGCTGGTGTTCAAACTGTTTCCCAAAGAGGCTTCACTGCCTGGGGGGGAGAGGGAGGCGATGAGGGAGTGAGTGGAGACAATAAAAAGAAGACAAGCACTAAGGCCAGCCGATGCAAATGATCAACAACAACAATGACAACAATTTTAACACAATGCTGGAGTTGCATATAATGATGATAACATGCAGTTAAAATGAAGGTAAACACGTGTTCACTGTTAGCGACTCCCGAGTGTCAGCTTTTTAAAAAACAGCCTGCCTCTCGAACCGTTAGGGGGCCAAAATACTCTCAATAATGACGACGCATGGGAGCAGAAAAACACACTTTCTTCTTTTATCTTATAAACGTCGACAAACGCACAACAGCAACAGAAAAAAACCTAGACAATTACAGGAGATGGGTTATCCATAATTGCAATTCTTTCCAGTACACAGCTACAGTATTGTTATGAGCAAAACAGACACTTTAATAGAAGTGTACAGGGAGGTGTCCTCTTGTATCACTAATTTCATGCAAATTAAAAGTGTCAAGCTGCAGTTGTTTGGGATGATAAAGGGGCTCAACCAGCACCCATGGGGACTCCATACAACCTCACTCACCAGCAAATGATGCACTAGCACTTTGAACAATAAGCAAACATTATCTTGATCACAGTAACATTGTTCTAGGGTGATGATCATGTCACTCACTGTAATCAGAGTCCTCCACTCCACTGTCGTCCCCCAGCCCTGTGCGACTTTTGGCCTCGTGCAGAACGTGTTGGTACGCATGAGGTCTGCTTTGAGAAGGGGCCTTCAGTTCCTCCACCACATCCTGGAACTCCTGCAGCAACTCGCCCAGCTCGAGCTCCAAGTCTGTGGAAAATGTGAGAGCAGTTGGAGAGAAACCACATTACTCCACTGAAAGGAAATGTTAAGATCATCCCAGGTTATTTCCAAAAGTACATGAGTAGAGTTGCGAAAAAAATAGCATTTTAAAGACCTGATTATTTAGAATAATCTTTTATTATATAAAACAAACAAAAAACATATCAAAGATCCTGGATATGTCCCAAATATAAGATTATAATCATTAAGATTTGACTTCTGGGTGAGAATGGAATTAAACAGAAGCTATAAGCCAAACCCTGCAGCCGACGTTTATGTCAGTGGGTTGTATCAGATAACTTGATGTGTGATAATAAACCTAACAGCCCATACGGCATATAAAACATCTAACAGCCTGTAAAACACCTGGTCTGCAAACTGTGATAAACAAATATTACATTTTAAGTCCAACTTCTATGCTTTGGGCTGTAATAAAGAGACACTTTCGGCCATTTCTTGAATAAATACAGAGTCATAAAACAAGGGAGGCAGTATGGGATGAACGCATTTCAGTTTACCCACCATTTCATCACAAAGTTATTTTATTAGACTAACATGAATATGACAGAGCTTTAACAGTTCCCTATGGGAAGGCAAAAAGTAGCAGGACACAGCAAGAAAAAAAATATTCAAAAAGCTGTGAAAGAATACAGCATCCAAGAAATAATAATAGAAGTTTTAAAAAATAATGAAAAAATACAGATATGTGCCATGTAGTCTGTGGAAGACATACCAACAAATAGAATATAGTGTAAAACATGTCAATTAAAAACATAGCAGACTACATTGTTTAAAAAAACTGCTCACTCCCTCAGTGTAACTTTAATTCATATCAATATAATATGAAAGGATAGGCAAGTCTGGGGTTTTAAGAGGTTAAAATAAAGGTTACAGCCTCTCTAAGAGCATTACCCTGGTGTTAGCTGTTTGTTATGATCACAAACATCACTGCATCGTTATTTAATGGCTCAAGTAGTCGTTGGACTCACCTGTGTTAATGTCTGAGGACATGTTGAAGCAGTGAAATAAAACACCACCGGGCTGCTGTGTGTCTGAACGGTTACAAGCTGACAACAAACTGATGCAGTTTATTATAAAGCACCTCCACACCCGCTCAGCCAGCGGGCCGGACCAGCCAATCAGGTCGCAGAGAAACCTCAAAGGTCTGGAGCTGCTCTGCTCTTAACTGGAAAAAGTGGGCGGAAAGTTGAAAGGAAAAGCATAAGCAAATGAGACAGAAATAATCCGTTACGCAACTCAGGTCGAGGCTTACAGTCGCCCCCCCCCGCCGTGCTTTCACATTAAGACGGAAACTTTGTGTAGACCTTAAAAGTTACTCGTTTTTCATAAGTGATTTATCCTGTTTAGGGCGCAAGCAGCTTGCTTCAATAGGATTTTACAGAGGACCTTAAAGCGTTCTTCTGAGTTTGAGCGAGGCTTTATTTAGGAATATAAACTGATGATGATGATCACATGGTGATATCAAAATTTGGGACTTTTTTACTTTGCTACGTAGTTTTCATTGTTTGAATGTATACCTGAGTTTCTCTCTTTGTGGTGGATACTCACTTATTACCTTATTACTTGCGAATAAAGAGCTAAAAAAAAGAGTTAAAAAAAGAGAGGTCTGTTTATGCATTAAAACCAAACTTTTAAAATAAATAATTCTGCTGTAAGCGGTGCAGTACTCTGCTCTGTCGACAGAGGCCCCTGATGTGCAATTCCTCCCACAAAACAGCTGTTCAAGTCTTAATATGCAGTGTTCAGTGAAGTGGCGTTGCTGTGTCAATAGTGGTAGTATTTTGATCCTTTACTAAAGTAATGATAATACCACAGTGTAAAATACTCCATTAGAGCACCCATAATGCAGAATAACCCCTTTTGATATATATTAAATAGTATTACCAATTATATATCATATTATATCGGTGTGTAATAATTTATACATTATTGTGTAGAATTTTAATGTTGTATCTGCTTAATATACTATTGGGAAGTTTATGCCATGAAAATACATCCTATTTTAAAATACGTTTTGAATCTATAATCTAATCAGAAACAGAATTAGAATCACTTTTACTGGCCAGGTATGTGCGCGCACACACACACACACACACACACACATTGCTCTCAATGTACAAACACATACTATCTTTATGTACATGAGGTAGGTGGATATGAGTCTACTGTAGATACAGTACATATAATAAGAAAAGGTAAATGTATTCGAATAGAATTTATGTTTTATGTTTAAAAAAAGAAACAATTTTTCAACAATGGGAAACCTACAAAGTAACTAGTAACCAAAGGTGTCAGATAAATATAATGCAATAAAGTTACAATAATACTCTCTGAAATGTACTTCAAAATTGTACTTGAGTAGTTACTTTTTACCGCTGATGTTCACCTATAGAAGAAACTTCCAGTTTATGTCTATATACAGTATGTTCCCATGTGAATGCAGCAACAGTTAAGCATTGTAAACACTGTTATTGGTGTTATTTATAAAGACTTGATCCCAAGGGTTATAGAGGCTTCTGGAAATTTGGGCGGAAGAAAACAGCACCGGAAGAGAAAAATGATCCAGAGGCAGTTAAAACATTATGAAGTAGTTAAAAAAAGGTGGCAGGTGTGCTAATAAAAAGAGGTGTGTAAGCACATTTGGTATTAGCACATTAATCCTGTCCCATATAGTTAAAAGATAGAATAAATAAAGGATATGTACATAACATAAGCCCCATGCTTACTCATTGTTTTTTTTTTCACATGAGTTGCTGCAAATACATGTATTCATCTCATGCAGATAAACCTGTTGTTCTTCTGACCTCTCCTGTGTCAGTCTGGCACGCAAGGTAAGTGTTTGTAGGAGGGGCATGTAATGAATTATGCCTTGCAGGTTTAGGTTGCTGCTTCTGTCCTCAGCGCTCACTCTCTGCCTGGGAACTTGGGTAACATGTGTGAGGGCGATGGGCCATGGGACTCCTGATAATATGAACTGGGCTGGACTACTGCAGGTCAGTGAGTCAATAGCAATTCAAGGCTTTTCCATTCTGATGGTATCTAATTACTGTCTCAGTGTTTCTATGGAGTGAAAGGGTATAACTTGAATGTTACTCTTCAGTGTGCGATTTTGAAAGATATAAATACACTGAATGTGTGATAGAGCACTCGGAGAGACACTGGAGAGTTTGGGGGTTATATAAAAATGATGTTCAATCAGAACCTCTTAAATATTAAAAGAAAAACTGATATATTTGTGAAAATGCACAAAAAATGTTCTTTTTATTGTTTGTGTGGTATTTGTGTATGAGAGTAATTGGTTGAAGATAAGTGAGGGGCATCACATTACCTTCATTGTGCAGTTGTCTGCTTTTAAAAGAGCTCACTGAGGCATGAAGTTTAAACCTTATCACCACCAGGGAAAACCTTACAGTCAGTTTCGAGTGCAATAAAAAGACTGTTATGTCATAACCAAAATCATGGTGTTTATAAAAGTTTTCACAGTTTGTTTCTTCTCTCATCAGAATCTGCTGGTCGTGGTCCACCTCCGGCAGATCATATGTGGTTCTGTCTGGTTTTCTATCCCAGAGGAACAGGATTCTGGTATTCTGGCTGGGTCACTTAGTAAACACTTCTCACCTCCATACCAGCTTCTCACCCAGGAGTATTTGTGGATGGACAAAAACACGGGGAATTTCTACACCACTGAGCAAAAGATGGATCGCGAGGCCCTCTGCCCCGAGGAGACAAAAGCTGAGGAATGCATTATTCTACACAATGCTGTCGTGGGGCCCTTAGGAGACCTTATACAGTTTCCTGTGATCATAGAGGACATCAACGACAATGCACCTCATTTCGAAAACAGTGAAATACACCTGAAGGTATCTGAGGACGTGACTGTGGGGACCAGTTTCTTATTGGATGACCAGGCTCAGGACAGGGATGCTGGACCTAACGGCGAGCTGCATTACCACCTACAAGATTCTGATGGAGTTTTCAGTTTAAAAGTCGCGGAACACGGGTCTGTTCTCATGTTGGTGGTGCAAACAGCTTTGGATAGGGAGACTCGGGACCTGTATCAGATAGTGCTGGTGGCCACCGACTGCGGCTCAGACTCTTTAAGTGCTACAGCAACTTTAATAGTCACAGTGACAGATGTTAATGACAACTGTCCAAGCTTTAGCTCTGACAGCCCCCGCAGTGTCACCATCCCCGGAGACTCCCCGAAGAACATGCTAGTTGCTCAGGTCAGAGCCACAGACCCAGATTTAGGCCCAAATGCTGCCATCATTTACTCCCTCAGTCCCAAAGTCTCTGAGCGGGCCAAGAAGCTCTTTAGCCTCGACAGCCTCACTGGGTACATCAGACTAACACAAGACCTCGAGAGTGACAACTCAGAGGAGTTGCTGTTGAAAGTGTTAGCTAGCGGCCATCACTGCCCCCCAGCAGACACTCAGGTAACCGTATCCGTGCTCCCCAAGGCGAACCAAGAGCTGACTGTCAAGATCGGGTTCATAGTGGAGCATCAAAACCAGACTATGGTGTTACTAGAGAACCAGCCCCCCGCTGCCTTAGCCGTTTTAGAGCTTGAGGGTGACAGCAGCTTTAGAGACTCATCTCTTGCCATTGAGGGCGAAGTGCCTTTCACTTTGAGCCTACAGAATGGCAAATATCTTCTTTCCACATCAAAGCCCCTAGACTATGAGATGAAAAGTGAACATAATATTTCTGTGGTAGTGCACGGGAGATCTTCTGAAGGGACTGTGATCGCTCATTTCAGGTATGTGATCAGGGTGATGGTGGGAGATGTCAATGATAATGCTCCACATTTCCTCCAGTCTCACTATGAGCTGGAGGTGGAGGAAAACAACCGACCAGGGATTTCATTGCTGCGGGTCTCAGCTTCAGACGCAGACAGTGGATACAATGGCAGGGTGACCTACAGGCTGGATAAACACACATCTACCATCTTTAACATTGACCCTGAGACAGGGAAACTGTCTGTATCAGCCTCTCTGGATAGGGAACAGCAGGGTGTACACAAACTCACTGTGTTTGCACAAGATAGAGGCTCTCCCCCCTTGGAGTCCGTGGCCACAGTATCCATTCGTGTTCTGGACCAGAATGACAATGCACCTGTTTTTCTAACCCCTCACTTTATCTTTTTCATCCCTGAGAATGTACCGCCATACGCTCAGGTGGGGGGGCTAAGGGTGACAGACCCAGACGAAGGGGAAAATGGGAACACAGAGTTGCATGTTGTAAACAGCAGTGGACCTTTTGTTGTGGATAGCACCCAGGGGACACTGCGCACCACCACCAACTTGGACCGCGAAACAGAGGACCGCTATGAACTCTACCTGCTGGCCAGCGATCATGGGCACCCAGTCTCTTTTACCTCTACTGCCAGGATAACTATCTTTGTGGAGGACATCAATGACAACCAGCCAAAAGTGATCCTTCCCAGCAGCAACTCCTCATGCCTGACTGTCTCTCCAGAAACCATTGCAGGCACCATTGTAACAAAGATCTATGCCATCGACGAGGATTCAGGGCTGAATTCGGAGATTACATACACTGTTGTGGTGCCAGAGCCAGCGCAAAACAGGAGCCCCTTCTGGGTGGATTCAAGGTCAGGGAACATCACCATAACGCAGCAACTTCTACAAAAGCACCTGGGAATGCACCACCTGTTCATTGTGGTCAGAGATGGGGGGAAACCAGCTCCGCTTTATACCACTGTCTGGGTTAATCTGTTGGTCAATGAGAGCATGGAGCCCTGCCATTTGGACAGGGTGCCCACATGGACAGGGACATCTGACTTGTTTCACACCCCCTCAAAGGCCCCCATCTGTGAGGTGGAGGACACCAGATCGGCTCAGCTGATACTGCTATTAGGCCTGAGTATGATGCTGGCATCCACATGTTTACTTGTGGTGACTGCAGTGTTATACCTGAAACAGAGGAGAAGAGGTCTACAGCAGAACAAGAGGGGGAATATTGAGGAGAACGAGATTCCACTCCGGATCACACACAAATATTACTCTGATGACTAACAGAATGAAGCATTGCATGTAATCCTCACTCACACTGTGTCAAGTAATGAAATCCGTCTGTGAATTAAAGACATTCTGAATATTTGTCAAAGACTTCTTGTATTTTAATACTCAAATTTATTGAACTATTCTGATAGTGTACTCAAAATTCTGTCAGCAGCAAAACTGCACAATTCTGTGGAAATAAAGTTGATCCATTTTCTGAGAAAGATCCCTGTAAGTTACCAGGAAAGTATATAAAGGTGATCTGATTAGTTAAATATTTGGGTTACCAGCAGAGTCCTTGTGCATGAACTGTAGAACTGTAATGACACAGGTGATGTGCACAGCATTAGTCACAAACATAGATTATATCACAGCAAGGTATTGCTAAAATACCAGAGTCCTCTTTAGGGATCATTCTTCATGACCTCTACAGCGTGAAGAAGACTGAGGTAATGGCCCGCTAAGTTGATTGGGCCTTTCTCAGATTTCTAACTCTGAGTGACAGGAGGGGTCTAAGGTATTTAGACCCACAAAAGGGTTTAATGTTCCTCCAGTGGGGAGGTGATGAAAGTCTCTCAAGAAACAACTCTGAGATGACCACAGGGGGCGGAGCACAGCTGTGGACAGGCGAGAGGCGGCAGAGGGAAAGCACACCGCCATCTCAAGTCACCGCCTCACACCTGTTACCTGATAATGCTGCTTCTCACACACGGAGCTGCATCTCACCTAAATAGCAGAAAACCTACTGTGCTGCACCCAGTAAGCCAATAACGGGCTTGTTGTTTTGATGACAGATGTTTGGAGTGAAATCACACCTTGTTCAAAAGAAATCTTTACAAAAGGTAGTTGCTCTCATGTGTTAGTGATACATTTGTATGCTGGGGAACAATTGAGATATCAAACCAGGTTAAGTGATGCATAAAGTATGAACGCGTCAAGGTAAAATGTGTTTACAAATCTGTGAACACACAATTACACAAAGAGGGCAGGCTAATTGTTTTAGCTTTCACTTAGGAAAACATTTCTTATCTTTGCATATCTTTGTATCATAAACTATTGAACAATCCTTTTAAGATACACCTGTGTTACAGGAAAGGAGGAAAGCCACGAGTCAGAGCCTGTAAAACACAAGGTACAACAACCTGGTTAGTGGAGAACAGGGCTTGTATAACATGAGTGGTGTTTCTCTGAGGACTTCTCAGCTAGCAGCTTAAAAATAAATAATCTAATAGGGTCGTAAAATGAGACTAACTATATTAGCTGAGAGGAAATAGAGAGCCCCATAACAAAGTTAAATATTAAAGAAGCATCTTTAGATGAGGATAATTCCTTATGTAAAATAATTATAAAAGGATAATTCCTTATGTAAAGATGCTGCTTTAATTTGTAATTGTAAGATTCCAGTAGGACATGTACAACCTAATGTATAAACAGGATCATTGTGGATGAAAAGAGCCATTTTTGACCTGGTTGACAACATTCTGACGGTGGATTTATTTTTTGGAGCATCATGTTTAGCCATGCTTCTTAACAAAACTGACTTTTCTGAAAAAATTAACAGTATTGAGGGACAAGACTGTGCTGTGGCAGGGGAAAGCCTGCCATCTACTGGGCACAGATGAAGCCAAATCCGGCTCTTTATTTCTGGTATTTGGCCAGAGGGTGGAGATGAATCAGAGGACAGTCTCTCACTCCGCCACAGTCAGGTCGCCTGAGATCAGTGATGTTTCCCTGCTGCACGCTGCTCTGCTCCGCTCCATTCACAGCACATCTAATTTTAATCTTTTTTTTTCTCAAGCTGAACATTTGATAGTGGGTTATGGGGTTGCATGAGCTGAAATGGACAAAGAAACCAGCTGGCACAGAACCAAATACCCAGTAGATTATTTATGAGATACACATCAGGGGTTTTATGATCACAAATGACATAACAATTGAGTCCAATTAAAATACCAGTGATGTTTTTGTTATCAAAGAAACTTGCTGTAGTGATGCTGAAAATACTCCTCATTGGTCCTCAACCATCCAGCTTGAAAGGGAATATTTGACTTTATCAGAAGTTGTGTTATCCACATATTCATGGTATGTGAATGCCATTCTGAGCTTGCTTTTAAAAGGCACATCCCAAAACTAAATGGATAGAGATAAATAGTAAAGCCCATATCAGCGTAGCCAGCTGGGATATCAGATCTTTCGTGTTCAGTACCTCAGACACTGCAGTCAAACAGACATTAGCTGACAGTAAAGACTGGTGAGCAAAACCTGACTGTCCACAGGCTCATGTTGATGGTGTAACTTCAGACAAATCACCTTCACTGTCCATGGGCATGCAGCATCTCATCATAGGCCATCTGCATGATTCATGAGCCGTTTCTCATTTGGTTTTATTCATCAGTTGCCATGTTTTGTTGTTTTTTAACAAAAGGCCTTGGCAAACCAGGGACTGCATGGCCTAGAGTTGGGATATCCAACTCACAGTAAAGGGAAAGTTTTTCAATTTTTTTCCATGGACAAATAACTTTCCTTCTTCTATATTTGCATAAATTGCAAGTTGCTCTCTCTCTATATGCAAATATGCGTCAACAATGAACTAAGGACCTTTCTGCAAGCGTAAGAACCTTGACCTCCTCATTATTCTCCGCCTTGAAGTTCATTGAAAAGCGACATTGTTTCTTTAAGATTTCACTCGCAGTCATCAGCGGGTCTGTCCATTGTTGGGGGAACAGAAAGAGAGTTGAGATTGATATACGGGGGCCGAAGACAAGTTGCGCATATCATCAGCGGACCAGCTGCAGTGCAGGCAGCAGCAGTAGCCAACAAGTCCTGAACGCATCCTTCCAGACATGGGTAAGAAACTCCAGCTACTGGGATCTACCTCTATTAACTTTTAACAGATAGAATACTTCACATTATCAAATCTGCATTTTATTTGAAGTGATTGCACGCTTATATGGATGGGACTGTGAGAGGGCATCACAAGTTATTAGGTTTTTTGTCAGTTTAGAGGTCGGCCACTCACCGGCTGATGCACCACTGATATGATGAGATTTATTTCATGCTTGAGATGGCAGGACTACTTTCAGAGGAGCCTTGTCGCATTTGCTTTCGGTCGCAATCTTTCTCAATTTTTAAAGAGCCGAACTTGGCCTCGGCCATGTTTTCTTTTTTTTTTTTTTTTACTAGGACGAGGCCTGTATTTTCATTTGATATCGAGAGACTGTGGGCAGCTTTGGTTGACAGGGCTTCAGCTCTTTGTTGATGTCATTAATTAGTTAATTGGCGCAAGGTGTATCTGAAGGCATGCGCGTTAATGTTGGGTGTATCATGTTTGAAGTTCTGGTTTATGTGCGTAATGTTGGGCTACTTGTGCTTGTGATGACAACAACTCTCTGAGCGCACACACAAATTGCTTCCTAATGTAACAATACTGAAAATATTTGCTAGTTTTCTCACAGTTTAGCTTTTTAAACTCACTCTTCAAGCATAGTAAAATGACAGTGATCACAGTTTGCCTCTCTCTCACACTCACACACACACACACACACACACAGCCAACACAGCCATGTAGATGTGTTCAATTAAAGAGCTATCTATTTGCCCCTCCTGCCATCTGTGTTTACTGTAATGGTACCAACCACAGTCTGTCTGCTTCCATTGTGCGTGTCTGTGTGGATGCACGCATGCAAGCGTGTAATGGCACACATGCACACAGTTGCATTGTTTGTTTATAGATTCGCTTCTCCATCCTCTTCCAGCACAGACAGCACCCCACTATCGCTTTCTTGTTCCCATGTCTCTCCAGAAGGAAGTCTATGAGTGTGTGCATGTGTGCGCTGTGTGTGTCAAGCATAGAGGTGCCTCTGGTCTTTGTTTGCTTGACATTGGTGGCCCTTGTACCCCCATGATGCTGTGGGACAAAGACTGTTGTCTCTGCAGTCACAAAAGCAGCCTCTCTCTCTTTCACTTTGTCTCTCCTCTCCGTCCTCCCCCTTTTCTCACACTCCCCATGCTGGGTGGTGAATGGAGTCAGGGTGTGAGCTGGGGTCAGAGCAGACACATCCCCATGCCCTTGGCCCTTGGCATCCATTCAAACAGCACATGACTATTAGGGAGAATGCACAGCTTTAATAAAGGAGTGTTTACAGCTGCAGCTCGATCCGTAGTGACAAAATAGAATTAGCTAATTTTCTTTAAATAGTTGGTTCTAATTTTTAAATAAAATCTTTAGTATTTTCTAGGTATGCTGGTTGTTTTGGTTTTATGTGCTCAGGTTTTGAGAAATCTCCAAGATGTCTGCTTCCAATGAAATTCCATGTGGTGTTCACACCAATTAAAAAGAATCCTTCCTGTAAGTTCCTGTTACTCTGTACATAAAGTGTAGATCAACGACTTGTGTTATCATTTGCTTTCATTCGTGTATCACCTGAAAATAAAAGAATCGTTATGTTATTGTTACCTTAGAATGAGCCGTTTTTATTTACAGAGGCTGCAGGTTGCCTTCCATGGAGGCCGCCATGTTTTTACAGTAGTCCAGTACTCACATTATCACATTATGCGGGCACCGTAAGTTTCTCCTTTGCGCTTGGAAGGGGAGGAGTGGGGAAGTTGCAATCTGCAACTACATTACTATATGCCACTACATACTACACACTAGTCCTTTTAATCACTATTTCTGGAAATTTCTAGAATATAGAATAATAGATTAATCAGTAGAAAAACTCACAGGGAACTCTCAAAACCAGAGAAATCACAACCAAAACTATTTGCATGGCCACCACCACTTAAGTTAGCAAATGTTTGTTGTTTGTGGGTTTTTTTTTTCATAATTTGGTTAAGGCAAACGTTTTGTTGGTTTAGCACAGCATGTCCATATTAACTTAACTAAGTCAAGAAAGCCCCCACTGTATATACTGTGCATAATTTGTATTTTGGAACAGAGTACTTCTTCTATGCTGTCTGTCATATTGAATCAGTTAATTATGTTCCCTGACTTTCACGGTGCTGTGCCTTAACTAACAGGTTGCTATGACTGCTGTATGCGCTGTTTGGGTGGGGTGCCGTACTGCTCCCTGGTTGCCACACTGCTGTGTTTCTCTGGCATTGCCCTCTTTTGCGGTTGTGGGCACCAGGCACTCACAGAGACAGAGAGACTCATCGAGAATTACTTTGCCCGTAACCTTCAGGACTACATCACCCTCGCCTACATGTGAGTGGTAAATTTTAAAACACTTTCATCATTCGAATGAGATCTTTTTACCATGACCATGGGATTTCTGAAGTTGTAGTTTCTATTGAGAAGGTTTATTTTCTTTGTAACTATGAATTTTCTTTTTCTGCATCTCCTCAGCATTCAATATTTCCAATATGTCATCTATGGTTTGGCCTCCTTTTTCTTCCTCTACTGCATCGTGCTGTTGGCGGAGGGTTTCTATACCACAAGCGTTGCCAAGCAAACCTTTGGAGAGTTCAGGAGCACCATGTGTGGCCGCTGCCTCAGCTCCTCGGTGAGAGAGGGCCCAGAGTGGGACAAGTAAAGGGGATTGGAGAGATTGGATAGGATTAATACACATATCACTCCCTGGTGGGTGCTGAGCCGAAAATCTTAAAGCTGCTAAAAACCTTTGGGGACATGCAAAGATAAGCATACAGTGTGTGTTTGAGCGGTTGGGTTTGGGGGGGGGAGCTGAGTGGTCGGAAGACAAGGAGAACAGAGGGTGAGATAATAGGGAAAGCTAATCGTAAAAAGTAAATGTGGTCACTAAGTGAGTCACTGCTAATAAAAAACACTCTCTTAGATTACTTGTGTGGATCAGTCTATTATGACGATGCACCCTAATGTTTACTCTGCTCCTTCCTCATACAGTTTATAGTGATGACTTATGTACTAGCTGTGCTGTGGCTGTTGGTGTTTGCCTTCTCGGCCCTGCCTGTCTACTTCTTCTACAACATGGACGCCACCTGCCACACCATTGATGTTCTGACTGAGACCCCAGCGAGTATCAACCAGCTGTGTGTTGATGCCAGGCAATACGGTAAGAAGACCTCTAGTAATGGCAATCTATGAGACTGTTTTTTAGTTTAGGGGATAAGTCTAGTGATACTCTATATTTTTCTTATTAACAAATCCCATGTGAAGACCAAAACCAACAATGAATTGTTCCTACTAACAGCCCGTGCAACCAAAACGCATTCCTCTGTGCCATCCCAGTAGCTCTGAAGCTGTCCCTAGGCACAGATACTAAATGCTAAAGTCAGCATGCTTACATGCTCACAGACATGCCGATGTTTAGCATGGTATGTTTACTATGTTCACCATCATGCTTTAGTGTGTTAGCATGCTAACATTTGCTAATAATGAACACTAAACACAACAAGTATAACTGAGACTGATGGGAATATCATTAGTTTTGCAGCTCATGAACCTGAAAAGTGATATATGAAATATTACATTTCATCTTTTGATGGGGACGCGAATATTTGTACCATATTTTTTGCCAATCCATCCAATAGTCGAGACGTTTCACCAGAATCGGAAAGGTGAAACCTCATGGTCGCAGTGAAGGATTACCAGGCGATTACCAAAGTCATTAGGATTTATCCTCTGGGGACCACGAATGGCTGTACAACATTCTGTAGCAATCCAGCCAATAGTTGTTGAGATATTTCAGTCTGGACCCACAGACCAACATTCCCATCCATAGAGCCCTAGAGTGTGGCTAACAAAACATTTTTATCCCACAGTGACCAACACTGTTGCACTGGGTGACATGTCCCCTCATTACCATGAATGTGGACACTGGTCTTTTTATATGATTTGTGGACAATAACAGAAACGTAGAATAAAGCCATCTTTATACTTTTGATTGTATCTGTACTTAAGAGAGAGAATTGAATAGAGACATTTGATTTTAACAGGGCTCCTGCCATGGAATGCAGTGCCAGGGAAAGCTTGTGGTATAACTCTGTCCACTGTTTGCAAGACCAGAGAGGTAAGAACCAGCAAATAATTGGAGCTCTGGATGTCATGTTCTACAGTTTGCTTGACATGAAATGAAGATGACATGTAATCACCATTAATGCAAATCTCCTCCTATCAGTTCCGAATGACCTATGACCTCTACATTGCTGCCTTCGCCGGTGCGGGCATCACTCTCTTGGCTCTGGTGAGTGATTATGCTTCAGCTGTGGCCAATTTGACTGCGCTTCCACTGTGGGGTACAACAATAGCGTTATGGCTCATGTGACTTAGTGACGTTCAAAGTGTGGGCGGCGAGGCATCTCAGGCCTCCATGACTGATGACTTCTGTACTATTGCTCTCTGTTCCTCTTTCTCAGCTGACACAAACATCATAATAATGCCGTAATGTCTAGTGGTTTTCCAGCCAGGCAAATGGTACACCCATTATACTTGCATGCTCCATTACAGAAGCTGTTATACGGGTGGTATTGGCTATCAAATTAATGTCATTAGCAGACAATCATATTTTTTTTTCTTATTTGTAGAGTTTCAGGATGTGGATTTTTCTTTTCACTTCTGTTCTGACACTTCCTGTCTCTGTTTGTGCTTCCATAGCTGACCTATACTGTGTCAACCACCTATAACTTTGCGGTTCTACGGTATCTGGGGAGAAAGGGCATAGGTGCACGGTGTTAGGCTCCCCAACTTCCTCTCTGCTCTATCACTACTTCACCACCAACAACATGAGGATCTAAAGGGATGGCAACAACTCTCCTTCTACATCATCTGCACAGAAACCACCTGTGATCACGGACTCTTAGGTGTTGTCTTATACATTATATGTCCTATATTTTTACTTTTCTTATTGGGAGGAATGTTATTTTGGTTTTTCCTTTTCCTTTTGTTTTTTTTATATGCGTGAGGTTTGCTTGCTGCTTTTACATGCAGCAAGTCTTATTTCAGTATTTTCAATGCCATGTCACCAAAATATTTGTAAATTATTGCTCTTGTTACTTGCCAGTCTAAAATTAATTTTGGTTCCCATGCACTCAAAAATACAAATAAAACACAACTAATAAATTAACATATGTAAGAAATAACCACCAATTTGCAACATATGTGCAGCTAGAATGCAGCTGTTACACAGAATAGGGATTATAGGTTACCATGGTTACCATCCCGCACATCTGGTTGCCATGGTGGCAGACAAGCACGCATCTGCAGTCTCACACTGACCTCAGGACTTTTCTCACGGGCTCGAGAAAGGCCTCAACAATGGAGTCATGCCCGATTTTAAAAGCTAGCCAATGAGGACCCAGTTGTGGGGGCCACCTGCGCTACGAGTCTCTGTCAAGGGTTATATTACATGTCAAAGGAGGGGGTCCTCCAGACAAAGAGAGGGTTAGACCTCTCTAAAGCATCAATGCAGCTCTCCTGAGACGGCAACCACACACAAACAACTCCATCTGCATGCTGCTGCATGACCCCCACCTCCCCTCTAAATAATGGAAATGATGGATTCAGAATGAGGGGACTGAAGGAATTTTAGATTATTTTGAATAGTTTCTTTCTGACAAAGGGACATACTTGTTTAGTTTGATCTAGAAGGGTCTGAAATGTTCTCATAATTTTGAGACTGCAAAAGCACTAGGTGCTAACTTATCGCATGACCTCAAGTTATTTGACCTAAAACACATTGTTGAGGTGCGAGTCCCCCCCCCCCGCTGTTAATGCATGACTGAGGTACTTTTATAGAGATAGGACAGCTTTGTTTTGTCTCTAATTCTTTAGGAATTTTGTTATTGTAGTTATTGTATAACATGTTTACTTATTGTAGCTCAATTTACTACTGCTTTTACACTTTGGGTATTACTAACAAAACCTTTTGCAACATAATAAGTAGATTATTCTATTTGGTGGAAGCTTTACCCAGCTGTGAGTGGTGGATTTGTCCAGTGGCCACTGGCTGTTTGATTTTTTTGTGTGTGTTGGTAAAATTTGATAATAAAAGAATATTCTTTGAAGTATTTGTGCAGAGTGCATCTGAAAACATTTGTTTGTAGTCTGTGAAAGTGCGGTGTCTGGTGTAGTGTCACAGTGTTTCACTGGCGCTCCATTCTTGGCTTCCCGCCACACCTAGGGGGCCAAGGTATTTTGTAAGGTGTTTTGTGTTCTCTCCTCTTGTGTCCACAGGTGCACTGTTCCCTGCACTTGGCTGTGAACCAGGTGTATCTGAGGAAGCTGAGGCACAGGGCGAAAGAGGAGAGGAGAGGCTATGACCTGTATGGTAGGCTACAGAGAGACAGAGGAGGGACATTGTGCTCTCCATACCCTGCAAACACACCTGACATCAACTGACAAGAGCCTCAAGTTTTCCATGATGACAATGACAGCTGAGCTGGTCGTCAAAATTATACTGTTTTGTAAAGTTTTCCACTTTATTGGTACAACTTGGTGGTATTTGTTAAATTGATTCCCTTCATTATTTTGATGTTTTCATGAAGATATAGGCTATTGTGTGTTACATCTAAAATTGTAAAATTTGGGAACTGACCCATAGGTTATAGTTGGGCTTATTTCCAATAATGTTCTGCATTTGACCAGTGTATATAGAACCTATACTTTCTTTATATTTCCTTAGTTTGTAAGGCAGAAATTATGAAAAAAAAGAGGGTTGTTTTTCTTCTGCCCAGGTCTAATTTCACAGTATGCGGTGCATGCTTGATATCCTTTTTAATGAAGGGGAAATAAACGGTGTTCATGTCTCTTGGGTTCCCACACATACTTGGTCATTCAAGGACATTCAAGGTCTTGTGCAATGAAATTCAAACAAGGTGTGTTTTTGAGGTAAAAATTCAAGACCCGTGTTTTACTTGTTATCTTGCTGAGAAACTGAGTAATGCTTCATTTTAATGCTGCAAGTATTGGGGCTTTTCTTTCCCCCTGATGCCGAAAATGACTGCAGAAAGGTGGAGAGCTGAAGTATGCTGATTAATTTGAGTGACCTATTTCAGTTTTAAAAATTGTTTAAGATCTTTTGGTTTTAAAAACTTGAAAGTCATTGTTAAAGCAGCTTTCATGAATGTTCAAGGCCTGATGAGAACAAAAAAACACAGACAAGATAGTGTCCATTTGGTATGTTGCATGTTTTATTTGTAGCCAAGCACTGGAGAGTATACACCACTTTGCCAGCATGTTGGCACACCCAGTTTTATCCTCCGTAGTGCAATAAAGAGGAAAAAGGGAAGTTCTCCATTAGATCAACACATAATCAAGATGAACAGTCTGACTTTCACGCAGCTTAAATCACACTCATGGGTTGAGCACTGAGGGTGAAACAGACGTTCAGTGTCATTTCGTACATTATTATAAAATGAATGCCCTTTGCAATTTACATAAGCCATTAACATGGACAGCCCAAAGAAATGTATTTTTACTTTCATAAATATTACAGCAATATAAAGAAAAATACTGATATTAGACTGGGTTGCAGTGAAATAAGACTGCATCGTGAGAGCAACATACTATAAGGTTATGCTACCAGCTTCTATGTACCCACTGGTTCTCAGGTAGGTTAGATTCCAGGTAAACACTGTGGTAGGCTACATTATCTGAACAGGATAAAAACTGAAATGGTACAGTAAGGTGACAAAATATCCTGTATAATCCATAAAATATTAACACTGACAAATGATTAGCTAACAGCCCTCATTTTTGACTTTGAATTAATGTAGGCTACTGGCATGATTTTGTTAAAATGCCCTACTCAGTTCACAGTTAATAAAGTTTCTCTCATAAGCTGTGAGTACCAGTACTCAACACATCTTATAAAAATGTCAACAATAATCATACAAACAAGCTATTTGTTATAAGCCTACATTAAACCAAAGAACCATGTAATAAGTAAATGTACCTGATTGGATCCGGTTCACTTTCACAGTTCACCATTAGTCTGCACACACACTGAAATATGATGCAATTTTTGAACTTGAAAGGCAAATAATGTGATCTCAGGCAGAGAGAATACACAAGACCTTCAACATAACAGAAAAACGGTATGAGAACACGGACCGCAATGGGGGACTCTGTGTATCCAGGAGATTAAAACATTTTATCTTATTTTTGCAACAGGTATGGTTGTTTGACTAGACGCAATATAAAATAATATTCCAGCAGCAATCACAATACTGATGAGAATGAATTTAGACCATGTTAAACTCAGTTTGAAGCATTGAATGTCAGGCATATTATTTACTCAAACCGTGCAGGCAAACAACAATGCCCTCTGGCCGATAGCAGCAAAACCAAAGGGACAAATTCAAATGCAAGTAAACCTGTATTTAAAAACAATGAAATAAAAGTAAAGTACCATCCAGCTGAAAACAAGTAAACATTAAGTTGCGAGAATACTAAGTTATATAATTCACACAATACTGTATGAACGGGGTGATGCACATTGCACACATTACTGGTCTCAACAGCCTTTCTTGCTCAGGCTATTTCATATTGAATGAATGACCAGACTGACAGCACAATATGTATGTAATGTAACAGTAAAGCGCAGGAGACTGTCAGAATAAATGACTGGAATGTTAAGGCCTGCCACGCAATCACACTACTACAAACATGCCATAATTATGAAAATTATTGTTAATTTTAATAGTTCTAACCTCCTCTATACATCAGGAAAACATACTTTAATCAGCCCTTGATCAAACACTGAAGCCTAATATAAATATCACACATGCCTGTAAAAAAAAAAACGCGTCCGTGGATGAAAATGTGTTTCACAGAAAAATTAACAGCAGTTTATCAACAACAGTAGCAAAAGCAGCATTATTTTTTTTTACTCTGAAAGAAACACTGAACCTTAGTAAACAGACCCGTGTATGTGAATCACGGGAAATAAAAATTATCTGAATATGCCTAACTCGTACACCTGACACCTCCGGCTACACAATAGTGCAGTTATAATAGTTAAATGAATAAGAGCACTTCAATAGCTCGTACCCAATGCTTACAGTTTGAGCTTCAAATTTAAAGCTCACAATTCCCTTCTCACTGTGGACAAACAAGGTCATCTTCCTTTTGAGTGCAGCAATCGTTTAACTTCCTCGTACCATATTGGTCATCATAACCGATGTTGAGAGTTCCCAAGTACAATATCTGCCTGGTTTGGGTCACTTATACTGTCTGTGTCCAGAAAATACATTAGCTATCCACTTCTGCTAAAAGATCTGATAACAAGAAAATGTCACGGTGTATTCAAAGTCCCTCTAAAAGCTGGGAAAATCAACTCATGCTCAGACTGAGCAATTACCAGACCAACTGTACTTTATGCTGCCGTGCCGAAAGTAGACTGTGCTCTTCAAGAGAGGATTGCTATATTCTCTCTTCCATTGTATTAACTAAAATTTCACTTATTTCAATTAAAACAAATCATCTGAAAGCACTATTTGATACAAGTTCCTGCATAGGCAGTCAAAGCGGAAGCTGGGTAAAAATGGTTTTGTGCCACACGACTGGAAGAAGACAGAGTACAAAGCATGAGTGTGCCTGTTACAGTGTGCCTGTACCTTGAGCAATAATTCAACAGTTAAGATTCCAGCTGAATCCTTGACACGGCCCTCATCCTGAGCAGCTGTATCTTATCCACATTATCTTTAGCGTATACTGTACTCAGTACCTTGTACCTACAGTATGTGTACCATAAACAATATCTCATGGCTCTCAAAACTGCCTTGGGCAAGTTTCGGCCAGAGAGATTAAGACAAGGTGGATTTGCATCTGACCAATCAGCAGCAAGATGCACGAGAGGCTTTGCGGTTGCCATGGAGATCGATAGTACTACTCAGTAGTGCATGGTCAATCTGGTCCTCAGTGGCTAGAACCTCCCTGACAGCTGCCTCGAATGCAGCCGTGACATTTGTGTCATCCTTAGCACTGGTCTCAAAGTAAGGGCAACAGCCACTCTCTTCGCACCAGGCCCGTGCTTCCTCCTCCCCCACCTCCCTCTGCTCCATGTCTACCTTGTTGCCTAGAACCACAAAAGGGAACCGCTCAGGGTCTTTAACGTCTGAGTAGTACATGAACTCCTTCTTCCAGCAGCCGAGGTTCTGGAAGCTCTGCAGGTCGTTCACAGCAAATGTGAGCAGGCAGCAGTCGGCGCCTCGGTAGAAGGGCGTGCGCAGGGACTTAAAGCGCTCCTGGCCTGCCGTGTCCCAGATCTGAAGAGTAACCAGACGCCCGTCTACCTCCAGGTCCCGGTTGAGGAACTCCACACCGATGGTGTGAAAGGATTGGGAGTCAAAGCGGTCTGTGACATAGCGGTTCATTAGGGAGGACTTGCCCACTCCACCGTCCCCCAGCAGGATCACCTTCAACAACAGGCTCTTCCCACTCATCATGTTTCCTCCCACCCAGCAAGGCCTCCACACTAGGTTACAGGCCTCCACACCAGGTGGCAAGCCAGGGTCAATTTAACCTAAAAAGAGGAAGAAAAGCAAGAATAGATACTTACTACACAGTTAAAGGGAAATGAAAATCACCATTAGACAATATGAAATGACATATGGCGAGTTCTCAGAAAACATTCAAGTCTCAAACCAGTGTGTGGGCTTGACTTTGCTGATAATTCAGTGTAGATAACAAGTGGAAAAGAAACATTTGTATCCCACCTCAACCATGAGAACTGGATAATAGTTGACTAATTTCAGGGACACAATGACAGGGGTGAAGGACCGAGATGTCAGACAAAAGGTATCTGGTTGAAACTCTGGGTATGATGATTACAGCATTGTTGTTTACTACAAGACACAGAAATACTGACTCAGGATAATATACACATGTACTATGTTTGTAGTATGTATGCACCGGCAATAGCTTAGGATATTAAATGATGCTTTACGAGCTATATAACGGGTGGAGTATAGGAGTCCTACGCCACAACAACAGGGGCGAGTCAGGATCATGAGCTGACTCTTGGAAACAACCACTGCACTTGCGCAGACCACAAACATGTACCAGCTTGTTGTCAACTGTGGCCGGCGGCTAAAACTCCAGTTAAACTGCCGTCGGAGGTCTCTGCGGAGCTATTCACGAAACGCCCCAGAGCAGACGTTAACTAGGAACCAAAAAAGGTAACATATTCCTAAAAACAAACAACATTAACTGTTTTGTTGTGTGGCAAAGCCTCCCAGGCAACTAGCAAGCTAGCCGGCTAGTCTGAAGGCTTGTTGACATTCCCCTCCCCAGTTAGGCTAACCGATAGCTTCAGAGCACATGCGGCTCAAAACAAATATTAAAAACACTGTAAGCGACGGAAATAACAAAAGCTGCAGTGAGGTGATGTGTCTGTGATTTAATGCATCCACTATGTAGAGATTAAACATGTCACTCACCCTGTTCCTATTAGTTTATATTGCGTGCTCTGCGCCCCCCCCTCTACATCGGACTGAGATTGAGTGTTGTGACGTGCGCGCCCCCATCGAGGAGCTGCATGTGCACACACCGCTCAGGACGACCGGGGTCCTAAAGCCCGTAAAGTTAACCACTCTCCATAAATAGTCACAACAAAGTGTCTCTGTGGGGGTGTGCTTACTTTATTGTAATGGACATTTTGAGGTCTTTCTATTCTCTGCATCCATCCAAAACATTTCAGAGGGAAATATTGTACTTTTTACATTATGTGACAGCTCTAGCCAATTCACTAGTCCCTTTGATTAAGATTCTCCATGTAAAACATATGTTGAATTTCTAACACACAATGCATTGCTATAGATCAAACTACCCAGCAGTATAAGTAGATGGATGCTACCTAAACATTAATGCAATCATATTAACAACCAATAATAAAATATATAATAATGGGATAACCCCCACATAACATAAGTACTTTTACTTATGATACATTTTGTACTTTACTTAAGTTAGATATCCACCAAAATAGAGGGAAATATCTGTCAATTCTGCCCTATAAAGCTGGATAGATTTGACAATGATAAGGACTGCAATCAGCAAGCACAGACATACTAAAATACTGATGATGAAATAATGATGCAATAAGAAAAAACAAATTATAACAACTTTAATTGTAAAATATTGCATTAGGAATTACATGGGTATTTTTTAATCAATACTTTATTATAGAGGCTTCTTCCATTTACGTCTGCAGATATCAAACTACTGGTAGTATGTACTACGAGACTGCTTTGCATTTGTATCAGAGACTATGTTTCAAAGCTGTTTTGACTTAAGACTCATTTAGATTTTTTAAGTATTTGTTATAATTGATTTACTTTAAGCATATTTTGTTTTATGCAAGAAATTAGTCTTATAACTAGTCATTTCGTCCACATTGAACACTGAACAAACGAGTGTTGCAGTGGTCTCAGACACTTAGTAGAGCAATGTGCACCCCGGACCTGCAGGGGGCGGTGTGCAGCGTGGGTTGGTTCTCGACCCAAACAAGATGAAAAGCAGAAACTTAGAAGAAGAATCGGACTGTGTTTATTCCCTCTGCACCGTTGGCTGTTCTCACTCAGTCTCCTGTCATCAAAACCCATTTATACGGAGAAACTTTGTATATTTTTGGTTGAAGAACTAAGAAACGCACCTCCATGTGTTTGCCGCAGCAATGGTAGGAGACTGTGTAAATGTTTGGATATTGTAATTGGTGCATGCTCAGAAAACCACTGACACGTATGGTTAAAATCTCAATTGCTAGTGTTTGCTCAACGAAGTTAGTTGCAATGAGAAATCACTGTGTTCGTGACGCTTTCGTGTGGGGTTATGAACATCAAAAGAGGGTGTGACTTTGTTTGCGAGACTAAAGAATCATTTTAGCTTATATTTTAGATAAGAAAGTTGATTTGTTTTAAAGTAGTGAGCTGCTTGAGTAGTTAAAGCCTCTAAAATGACTTTTCTTTTCATCCTTGCAGATGGCAGGTAGGGGCAGGTTGGTGCCCTGTGTGTGTCTGGGGCTGTTTGGTGTCTTGTGCTGGGTCTGGGTCTCCTTTGCCTCCTTTCCAGACGACCAACTTGCCCTGGAGGCCTTGGATGCAGTGGACCGTGGAGCCTTTCAGCCCCAGAGTGCCCTATCAGAGATGGAGTTTGCCTCCGTCAGCTCATACACAGGACCTGGCAACAGTGACCGCCGCAGCAACAAGGAGCTGCCAATTCTCCTCTGGTGGAGTGTAGGGCTGTTCCCTCATTTTCCCGGTGACACTGAACGCATTGACTGTGCCACATCCTCCTGCCTGGTCACAAGCAACCGCAAGGTACCAGAGATATTTAACCTTGGCTCAGACAGAGGGAAGATGCATGCTCGTATTAATGATAATTATCATCTGAAGCTGTTCTGCCAGTAATTTTGAGTTTGATCTTGAAAGGTCCAGCTGTACAAACGGACAGCATCCATCATCTTTTATGGAACAGACTTCAGGGCATATGAGGCGCCGCTCCCTCGTCTCCGCCACCAGACCTGGGCACTGTTCCATGAAGAGTCACCCATGAATAACTACTTCCTCTCCCATGGACCGGGAATCAGGCTGTTCAACTACACTGCCACGTTTCGCAGGGAGTCGGACTATCCTCTGACCCTGCAGTGGCTGCCCTCTCTGGACTACTTGCTGATGCCGGTGGCGGTGTCGCTGGAGGAGAAGAACAGGTTGAGGAGGGAGGGCCTGGCTCCTGTGCTTTACATGCAGTCTCACTGCGATGTACCATCAGACAGAAACAGATATGTCCAGGAGCTCATGAAGTACATTCAGGTACAGTACAGAGATGTTCCTTCACGGCCATTTTTACAAAGAGGCATGCTAGATGACTGCAGCTGTTTCTAGTTTAACGCCACATTTATTAAGACCTAAATAAGATGTATGCTTAGTGAGGTGCAATTTTCCAGTTATTATAACTAATGAGAAATTATTATACTTCTAAAATCCACAGGCTTTAGCATTGCTGTATGTAAAATAAACAAAAACAAGCTGTGCAGATGTGGGTAGGCACCTCATAGACAGATCTAAGGTTACATTTTAATGTAAAGGTAATTGTTGTGTGATTTGTTGGATTACTATTTATTTCAATCTTGATATGGGGTTTTTTTGGGCCGATATAGATACTGATTATTAGTAATCAAGGAAACCAGTAACCTATATTTGGAACCGATATACATTTGCAGTATGAATGAAAATCTTGGTGTCCAGTGGTGGAACATACTGTAACTAAGTACATTTAAGTCCTGTACATAACTACAATTTTGAGGTACTTGTTCTTTACTTGTTCTCTTCCCGTTTTATGCTACTTTATATTTCTACTCCACTACATTTTGGAGGTAAATATTTTCCTTTTTACATTTATTTCGTAACTTAAATGACTAGTTACAGTACTTTGCAGATTCATATTATTAAGATCTAATAAATGATCATTTATTATTACAGAACAAGCTACCCAGCAGGATCTAATAATCAAATTCATTTTATTGACAGTCGGATTAAAAATAATAATGATACAGATCATGAGAAAAATGCTGGATATCGGATCCGATAACCTGCCAGGCCGATAATCTAAGTAGGTCTATCTTCTGACATTTGCTTCAAATAGAACGCTCTCTTTTAATTGTCTTGTTTTGCCTCTGTTCCCGTTCCGTACAGATGTCAGGACATGTTTTTGCTTGGTGTTGAATGCCATTTTAAGTTGTCGCCATCATTTTGAACCCTACCATAGCCGTTCTTTCCATTAAATATCAACTGGCTCACATGCACTGAAAATCTCTAGCTTAGAGTCTGCCTCGCTTCCACTTGCACACACTTGTGTACACAAGGTAGGAGAGTCATTCATCTTCACGCATGCAATTGCAGTAATACCTCTGTAAATGTTTTGTAAATATAGCCCTGAGTGTGATGTTTGTAAATTCCCATTAGGGAATGAAATGCTAGAGTTCAATTGGAAATGTCTAATTATGGTTTTATGAAAAATGTAGATCATTAAAAGTGTGTCACTGTCACATTAATAATTTCCTCCCAAATGTTTCACAAGTACGCCCCCATCCTTCTTCTTTCTCACACATTAATTCTCTCTCCGTAGGTGGACTCTTATGGGAAATGCTTGAACAACAAACCTCTGCCTGAACATCTGGAGGACACGGCCACAGCTACTGGCGAAGATCACAACTTTATGAATTTTGTTGCTCGCTACAAGTTTCACCTGGCGCTGGAGAATGGCCTGTGTCCAGATTACATGACAGAGAAGCTGTGGCGGCCTCTCCATCAGGGCTGTGTGCCCGTCTATCGAGGCTCCTCTGTGGTGGCAGACTGGATGCCCAACGATCACTCTGTAATCATCATAGATAACTTTCCCTCGCCGAAAGCTCTCGGTGAATTCCTCAAACTTCTTGATGGGAACGATGGTGAATATGCAAAATATTTAGAGTTCAAGAACCCCAAACGCATTACTAACACTCGTTTACTGGAGGCTCTGGAGACCCGTGAGTGGGGAGTTAATGACATGAGTAAGCCCAACTACCTGAATGGATTTGAATGTTACGTGTGTGACCAGGAGAATGCACGACTGGCAGCCGAACGAGCGTATAGGAAAGCCCCTAAGAAGAACAAACCTCCTCAGCCTAAAATGGCCAACAACGCTCACATGGGGTGCCCCCTGCCCAGCCCGGGGTTCGGACATGTCCGGGACTTACCTGCAGATGATGGGTGAGTTTGCCTTTAATGATTCACTGTGCCAGGTGTGAAATCCTTCTACTTTCCGTACTTTAATGTGAATAACAATGTCCCGAGGGGAGAGAAATCAGCCTATTTTAATTGCCTAATTAAAATATCCTCTGTGATGAGCTTAATCTGTTTGTATATCTGTCCGCAGATGGTTGCAAATATGGCCTCAGGATTACTGGCAAAGCTTGGACCAAGCAGAGGGGCTGGAGTCTCTGATAAGACATAACGAGTCAGACCCTTCACTGCTGTGGAAGCACATCCAAAACATTGCTGTGAGCAGAGCCAGAGGAAAACACTGACACAGGCCTTGAAACAAACAGAGGATGGAGCACGTCCAGGATTACAGGGGTGTCCCATATTATGCATCCCCTCTGTTTAAATGGGGGAATGAATTAGAAATTACTTATATTTTTGCACCTGAGCCAAACCCATTTACCCGTATGAGCAGTTTAGTTATACTATAACAGATTTTCATATTGTATTCTGCTGACATGATACTTTTGTCCTTTTGTCCCAAGCTCAGTAATGGGAAAATAATGTTTTAGAGTGCTATATGCTAATATTTTCAAGTCGTTTTATTACTATAGCTGAGGTGCCATCATTGGCCTTACTCCGTCTTGCATTGTTAACATTAACTGCATGTAGTGCAGTTATTCCACAGAGGCACATTCTCACAGGAGGCAGATTTTCAGACTGGGGCAGAGCCAAAGACTTGTCCTCTGTACCAAGAGAGCGCTGCCTAACTGTGTGTGAAGACCATCAAGCCAGTAGCCAATAAACTGCATTAGCTTCTTTAGTTACTCAGCAGGTAGCTGATGGTTATTACATTTATGTACACAGGTGTTTTAAGTGACAATGCAAGGGAAATATTATTTCACCAAGGAGTGGAGAAATATAAAGTCAGCCACAACTCCCCTGTGCAAAAGCAGTTCTCAGGAATAGCTCAACTAATGAATTCATGTGGCAGGTGCTTTATAATTTAATTATATAATTGTTTTTATAACATTGCCCATAACTCTTTGCTGTTACATGATGCTAAGTTCATGTTTATGTGCAATCTTTTTTTTTTTAATCATGCTTTTCTAAATCATGTAACAAAGACTCCATGACAGTTCTGTGTGTTTACTAGCACACTGCCTTTGGTAGCACATATTTATACCAGCATTATATAAATCATTTTATTTTCTTAACAAATCATCATACATGTGAACACACTATTTTGTATCAAGAAGAGCAAAATAACATTTTGTAATAAAGTCATTTTCTTGCATAACTATTGTTGCTAAATTATCATAGCTTACCCCACTGCCCATTAGTCTGTTCACAGTTGCTCTACAGACATTTCCTTCATAGTTTACTGAGGCAGATATAGCTTTCACCACCCAAAAAAAAAAACACAAGCTTGTATAATATGTTCGAGAAATTAGAAATTTAACCTGATGCAAGGATCAACATTAAGTAGTCATATTGTTCACTAAAACATGCCTCTTTGGTCACCCTAAACCACATCATTCAGTTCAAACCGGATACAGTCTAAACTTTTTGAAAGACCAGTTCTCACTTTATATGCAAATGAGCATGAGGGGAAGGGGGTGAGGATAAGAGGCTGCTGAAGAGCTTCAATAATCACTCGAAGGCTTTGGAGTAGCAGCTCTCACAGTTGACTTTCCCACCATGTAGGAACATACTGTCGAGAAGGTCTCCCATTGGCTTACTACACACAGCACACTGAAAAATTGGGAGAAGGTTTTTAGAAAATGTAATTATGAGAAAATACATCGAAGAGCAGTGTTTTTATCCTTGAAATTCTCTCACTAATTTATTGCTCCATAACACACAGTATACAAAACAGTTGAAGCTTTGAAAACACAATTAAGTGGTTAAGCCTTCGATTGGAGGAATGACATTATGCAATAGCTAGATATAATTTGCAGTTCAAGACTTAACATGACTAATAAGCAACAGAGGTAAGTTATACATTGTAAAGGAATAGTTTGACATTTTGGATAATAAACTTATTGGCTGTTTTTCCAAGAGTTGGATAGAATAAGATAAGAAGAAAAGATAATCTATACCACTCTCATGGTTTTCTGAAACTACAGGCATCATCATTAGCAAAAAGCCTGGCTGTGGAAACTGGATCTGTCCAAAGTCTCTTCAACCGACGTTATACCTCATTTGTTTAATCTTTACAAAAAAATATGTTGTGTTTAAGAAGAGGTTATGTGGCTATTTCAACAAGACAAGACTCGTGGAAGTGACTGCTCCCGGCCAAGAAATTGTCCGGCACACATAAAACCACAAGTTATTGTTTTTATTCTTTGGTTTTTGTACAGATTAAACAAACAAGATATAAAATGTTAAAGCTATTGATCAAGCTTTAGAGCTGTTGGGGTGCAGATTGTTAACCTATGGACAGAACCAGGCTAGCTTTTCTCCTGTTTCCAGTCTTCACGCTGAGCTTAGTTATAACTGGCTATAATGTCATATTTACTATACAGATGAGAGTGATATCAAATCTTCTCCTCTAACAGAAAAGCAAATAAACATATTTACTAAAAAGTCAAACTATGTTTAAGATGACAAAAATGCTCATTTTGTCCTGGCCAGTCCCTTCAAGGACATGTGAATATATCCAACAATTTATAGTGCAATAAATGCCAAACTGTACCTTCAGCAGAACTGTATCTCAGAAGACAGATTAATTACCTTGAAGCAGGCAGGGTGGCAGTTGATATTGAGGTGCTCAATGGAGATCTTGGCATCATTGCCCACCAGCTCTCCGCAGTATGTACATGTGGATGACAGTGAGCCACTGGGGAGACACAGCGAGTGAGACAAGTTAGTTTCGCCAATGTCTCAAACAGCTCTCGTGCAATTGCAGCCCTGTCTGGTACAATGACCTGTGACCCTTTCTGTCCTGCACAAGGGAACTTAATAAGTGTAAATAATCCTTTGATGTCCCTGCTTAGCCTCCTAATGAGCAGGCTTGGTGGAATTTCTGCCCTACTGCTTACACATATCTAGTTTCGTCAGAACTGAAGATAACAAGGCAGGGGAAGAAAGGGCTCAGGCTTATAGCTTGTTTAAAACAGGTTTAGGGAATTGTGTTGTCACCAGGAGTAAGCGGAGGGGCTGCTGTAAGAGTAACTGACAGAGTTTGATGTCAAATAATCTGACCCACTTCAGAAACTAAAGAAAATGTATGTGTACTAGCTGCTTGAACAAAAAGGAAGCTGAATCATGAAACATTGAAATAATTGAAATACTGAAAGCAGTTGAAATGACACTGAAATTACAAAAGTCTCAGTTCAAATGTAAACACACTGAAATTGAAGTGTAAGCGCTGAGTTGGAGTGCTGAAAGTAGTTGAAATGTCATTCAAGTGTAAGTAATGAACTGAGCTGGAAGTGTCAGTTGAGGTAAAAGTCCTGAAAGAAATGAGTGGCAGTTCAAGTGTATAATCTAAAAGATATCAGTTGAAGTGTCAGATGTGCTGTAAGCACTGAAAGCAGTTAAAGTAAATTGTGTATGAACAGCAGAAGTTAAGGAATTTAGAAGAGCTGAAGACGTTTTTCTTTTGTTAATCTGAGTTCAGATCTCAGATTTGAAGTGTTAATTGAAGTGTACGCATTGAAATGAGCTGAGACTGATAAACAGATCAATACAGTTTTAATGTCATTGTTGGTGTAATTGGTGAAAGCAGTTGAAATGCAGTTTAAATAGCAAGAGACGAAAGCAGCTGAAGTGTCAGGCAAGAAAGGGCTCAGGTTTATTTAATAAATAAATAAAGGTTTAGGGAATAGTTTTTTTACCTGAAGTAAGTGGATGGGCTGCTGTACGAGTAACTGGTGTAGCTTGATGTCAAATCTGACCCACTATGAAAAAAAGAGCTGTTAGTAAGTCATCATGAAAGAGAAGGTTTATACGCAACTATATATTTTTTCGAAGCAATATTGTTATTTCATTGTGTGAATAATATAATTATAGTAATGTTCCTACCCATCGATCGTGTCTCTGGCATTATGCAAGGACAGCTCTGTTGCATTGACATACTCCTTCACGTACACAAACGGCCTGGAGCGGAGGCAGATGAAGAAAAGAGTGCGTTAATCTGCATAGTTACAATATTAGCTGCCACTTTAATTTAAATGTTTGTAAAATCACTCACTTTTTTGCCTCAAGTTCTGGTGTTTGGACACGCTGGTCTTCTTCCGTCACAGTCCTGGAATAGGTTTCATAAGTGGAGACAGAGAGCAGCAGCGTTAGTCTCATCTTTCACTCAAAGATGACAGTAGTGTGATGGGTTATACAGAAGGACTCCACATCTGTCAAATGTAACTCAGGAGATAATAATTTTCTGCCATCGCTTGTTAATAGCATGCTGTTTAACGGGCTGTGATTTGACAAAAGGACATCTCTAATACACATCATTAATCTGACATCTGGAGACTGATAATTAGATGGAAGGAAATGAGGGCAAATTGAAAGACAATGGGAGAGCAGATCTTGTCATTTAACTTCAGTGATAGAGTTGAGTCAGCAGTCTGTTTAAGCAGGCATCATACTGGAGTTGCAGGTAACTTTAGATCGCGACTGCAGTATATTAAGCGACTACAGCTGTGTTCCCACAGGGTTTGGCCTAAATCTCTCACCCCCTAAGACGGCTTTGTTACAAACAGAGACAAAAGCAGATTTGGTAGGTAGGTAAGTAAAGCAAGCCCAGATGACCTAAATATTAAAAAATGTGTGTTTGATTTTAAATACATTTTATTAAATTAAACATTAACAGGTACGTTTATTTCCATGCAGTACCACATCCTTACAATATTTTTACAGTCAAAAAGGACTAAAAGCACCAGTTAAAGGAGAGTGTCTTCACAAAATCAGAAAATCATCAGACCAAACAGGAGAAAATAACATTCTGAACAAAGTATTCTTGCATTGTGCTGTCTGACGTTAACAAGATCATAAACTTACCGATCCATAGCAGGCTCTGGCTCACTGTGCATCTCCCTGGAAAGTAAAGAAAGCTGTATTAGACTTTTACTGTAGGCTGGAGCAGTCAATAACCTGGATGGTATCCAGTAAACAAGAATTCTGCGGTTTTTATAAGTGTATGAAACTGATCTTTCACTCACAGCTCCAGAGGGGTTGAGGTTTATTGACCAGGTGTGGTCTGTTTTTGCTGCAGAATTGCCTCATTCTGAACCCTCCTCCCATGCATTCATTGTAATTGTAAACATCACCTCTATGCCTCTCCCACTCTACGCTCATTCCAATATCCCCAGTTTTTGATCTTAAGATGTGAGTTTTAAGAATTTGCAATGTTTTTTTTCCAACCTGATAGTGGTGATGGTTGTGACCGTCTGTGTCTGTGTATCCTCGGGGCTACAAAACAGAGGACATCCGTGCATTACAATAAGTCTGGCAGTGCAAGTGAAGAAGTGTCAGCATTAAAGTAAAAACAACAAGTTGAGAGGAGGTTGATTATTCTCAGACTGAGCCGTGAGGAAGTTTCAACTTGTATTTAGCTTGCTTCCAATTAAATGGTTGACAGACACCGAATTTTAAGGTGCAATAATCACATCCTGCTAAAATTCTGGAAAATAAAGGGATTTAATATGCATTTAATGAGCCCAGCTCATACCTTTCCTCCTCTCCCTCCTCCTCTTCGTCTGTACTGGTAGTGATAGTATAAACAGTGGGTGATGTCCACCTGTCCCACGGGGAGTCATTGTCAGTGGACCTTGAGCACAAACAAAGACATGACATTGTACCATGAAGGAAATGGCAAATTCACTTTGTATGTTGTAAAAAAAAAAAAAAAAAAAAAGCTGAATGGGGATCTTCAGTTGTGAGGAGAGGTTGTAACAAATATATATCTGACCTATTTTTATCAGCACCAGTGCACAATGTTTTCTGGCTCAATGAGTAGATGCTGCAAAAGCCTGGTTACTTCACCGTAGTGAAAGGGAAGGAGGTTATGGGAATAAAAGGAGCAGATATGCACGCAGAGCTTTAAATAAAAAGATGACTTACTTTCTCTCAAACTTGACCACCATATTTTGATCTGCTGCTTCAGATGTGCCTTCTGGTTCAGCTGCTTGACTGAGAGGGGACATACAATGAAAGGCTTTTAGCACGTAATGGACATGGATGGGTGCATGTAGATGAATGAAACACAGTGGACCACATTGTGTGGAAGTGTAAGAGCAAATCAAAGTGTGTCATCACCTCTCATCTGTGTTAGTCTGCCGAGGTGTTCTGGTTTCCCATGTGTGTGCCCATGACCGCTGAGTGCTGAGACCGGAGAGCCAAAGTGGGGAGGGAGGGAAGAAGAAACGTTGTTATGACAGATCAAGCATATCAGACAAAGGTAATGTGCACTGTGTGAGGGATTCATTTCTGCAGGTCCACAGTCCTCTTTTCTCCTCCAGCTGTCACTCATACATTAATAACACAGTAGGCACTAGACTCAGTTTAATACCTTGTGTCAGTGTTTATAGGGATGACGTCGTCTGCAAGGGATTCCAATGCATTATTGCTCGTACTGTCGAAGCGCACACTGAAAAAGTGGGAAAAACGTTAAAACAAAATTGTGTGCCCTGGTTGTCTGGGGTGTTAAAGCACTGAGAATGAACCACAATGTCTCCTGTTTAAATCCACCTGGACTCTCTAACTCTCTAAGAAAGGCATTAAATGATTTAACAAAAACTATAGGGACACACACAGGGAATATGTCACTCACACCGAACATAAAAAAAATTCGACTGCCAGCAATTTTGCTGATTGATTAATATTTTCAGTTATTTATCAAGTAAGAATAAATGACTTGGCTCCAGTTTCTAAAATGTAAGAATTTTCTTCTTTATTCTGTTTTATATCATCGTAATGTGATTATATTTGTACATTGACCTGAAGAAGTCACTCACAAAATTATTGATAATGATTGATAGGTGCAGCCCTATTTCACAGAGTAGGTGTTGGATGCAACTTACCTGGTTGCTGGAACTGGATCTTTTTTCTCCATGTAAGTATATGACGAACTGAAGAAATAAATATGTAATATTAAAATGATGAATTATGAATAATAAGCAGTGTGATAACCGACAAGGTGAAGCAGTTGTAGTAACTATGATCATATGTTGTACCATGATAGTATCTATGCTACAAACAGAGGTTACAATGTAAAAAAAAAAAGGGAATTTGCATGATCATTCCCGTACCTGTTGATGGAAATATCTGAGAGGGGCTGGAGCAGGTCAGAGGAGCTGCAATAGAGAAAAGTGTCTCATAATCAGAAACTGCTGCATTATGCATGCCGAGATGCTATCTGGCTGGCTGGAAAACAGTCACAGCTCCAAACCAATATGATTACCTGTTAGGGGATGTGGTCCCTATCGGATATGGATCAAACGGATCAGCCGAGCTGAAAAACAATTTCACACTGATTTCACTCTCAATTGTCAGCATGGCCCATCTTGTGTCGGAGGAATTCTGATCACATTGACTCATAATGGAAAGATTTAATGCAGTTTGAATGGTAAACAGAAACACAGAGGAACCCAGGGCCAAACTCAATCAAAATCAGAATCTGGATGTCTTTGACAAATGGAAAGACCACTCTGCTGTTGAATGCCAAAATCAGTGTATTTCACCTAAAATGAACCCTGATTGATGGCTTGTTTTCAGACATTTTACCAACAAAAAATTAATTTTATCAACCACATTAAACCTAACTTACCCATTTAACTGTAATGAGAATCTATGTTACAATTGAATACATATTGCACACAATTTCACTTAAAGCACTAGCCCCATATGTGATGTGGCAGTAAATAAACTACCTTGCTTCAGTGACTGTGGTTGTTGCACGTGAGCTCCAGGGATCTGCAATGTCCTCCTCACTGCATGGAGGCGAGAGAGAAAAGTAAGGATGTACGGATGGTACGGATGAATGGCACGATGGGAAGAAAAAAGAGGGCAAGTAAAGGTTAGTGTGGTTCTTCTCATACACTATTTACAACGCCAGTCTGAAACCCACTGAACAATTTAACGAGCACAAAAACCATCTGAATAAAGTGCATAACAGACTTTCTGTGCGCGTGTGTGCGTTTTCGTACCTTTTGTCAGAAATGATCACAGTTTTGGTGGTTATAGTGACTGTCTCTGTGGGGCTGGCGGGCAGAGAGACGCAGCATAGTTACAGGCAGAGTTAGTATAAATCATTACAAGGCATATCTGAATAGAATGCATTTCTGAGCAGGAACAGCTCTGCATAGATAGATAATTGTTTAAGAGCAGCCTGTCATCTCCCTCTACCTTTGTGTTTCTTTGGCTGTCTCATCTGTCTGCTTCTCCTCCTCTCGCTGCATGCTGAGGCTGGCGGAGACAAAACAAAGCCGCAATACTAATCAGTACAGAACATTCTCTTCTATTTCCAGTCGTGCTGCAGATAAGACGTTGCTTTCTGTTGTTACTCAGTCGCTTCAGGAATCTGCGACTTTGTTTCTATCTAACATGGAGCACAGGGGTTAAAATAGAAAGCTAGAAGTAGAGGAGCCCTGATTTATGGATCAAACTTCAGGCGGATAGGATTTATTAAAAATCTTACACCTCAGGGAGCTGGGATGCTTGGCCCCTTCATCTGTAGTGATAAGGATTAATGGTACACAAGGAGGGAGGGATGGGGGAACGGGGGGGGGGTGGGCATCACGTCTTTCTCACCTGCGTGCCTCTGTGTTGATTACGATGACATCATTAGCTAGGAGATCCAGGGTGCCACTGGTCTTTGCTGGGTTTGACTCACTAAAGAGATCAAACACATAAGTCAAACACAGCAGAGTTTAAAACTGTATATCCAACTCCAAGGTAAGTTAAGGTAATGCCTCCACTACTGACAAGGGAGTTATTGATTTTCCTCTGACTAAAGGATAATTCTTCACATAACTCTGCATTTTGGGGCTTGGGTGGGAAAGAGCTCTTCCTATACCTGTCTAGTCCGCTAAGCAGATCCTGACTCCAGCGTCCTGGGCTGGGGGGAACCGGCTCTGCAGACGCCTCTGGACTGCGGAGATGGAAGCGGGAGAGGAAGAGGAAGCGGAGAAGGTGATGAACAAAGGGGATTTTGGATTCAGAGGAGATTTCAGTGCAAGAACAGGCCATTTGAGGTAGAGGGGATGGGGATCATAGGAGGTCCAACAGTGCCACCTTGAGGATAATAGTTGGATAATTTCAAATGTGAGGATTGCTTGATTGCACAGTAAGAATGTAATATTAACAAACCCATCACAGAGAGCCAGGAGATCATCTGTCATTGGTACACAGTTGCTGGGCTCAGGAGCTGGCTCCTGTTCAACACTGCAGAGAGTAAGCGGGAAAAAAATATCAGTGCACCTGCACCTGCTTTGGCACGTAGGAACTCATTTCTATATTACATTTTTAAGTACCACATTTAATCAAGTCTAATTTGGGACACCCTCTTGTGTGAGGAAGATTTCAGCACCTGAAATTGAGATGTGGGTTATTTTGTGATTACTCTGAAGTGAACACAGTGGCAGTTAGCCATTATGTCTTCTCCTGCCAGCACTGCTATGACATGAATGAGGAAGTTGTTGGTTTTATACCTATTCTCTGTGGTGCGACTGTCCGCTGAGCTCCCCTCTTCCTCTGCCAGTACTGGCTCATCATCCTTAAAGCTGGGGAGGAAATAAAGTCTTATTATCAGATGGCATGTTGTCGAGGCTGGAGGCACTAACATGATAATCTTTTTTTTTTTTTTTCAGATTGGTTTCTGCTGCTTTCATCTTTGTCTTTTTCCAGTACCTGGTTGAACTTGTGTCGAAAGAAATGAGAGTGTCAGACAAAGTGGTGAGCGTGTCAACACTGGAGCTGTGAAAATTGACAGAGAACAAACAAATGGAATTCCATGGCAGCTTTCAATCACAAGTGAAGAGAATGAGAACAAACACACTATAGACATACACAAAGAAAACCAGCTGAAAGCACATTTAAAGCTTTGAAATTAATTTATTCAATTCTAAACACATTTGGGCATTACGTGGATGATTAAGACTCATTATCACAGTCTAAATAACATGTTATACTGATGTTAACACTATGCAGTGGTGAAATTATTCAGATCCCCCCCATAAGTAATTTCCCAACGGGATTATTAAAGTATGTCTTATTCTGATTCTGATAATGTTAGATAAAAGCTTATATTATTGTTGATCTTTGTATGTAAAATGTTGTAATAGGTAAAAATAGGAATTGATTACATGTACATTTGGTTAGTGCAAATCTTACCTTGGCTTTGGAGATGGTTCTGGTTCTGGTTCAGTCTTCACTGCTATCTCTGTTACAGCAGCCACTGGTGCCAGTGAAAGTGGGACAGGTGACACAGGGGCAGGAGACAGTGGTGTAGGAGACAGTGGAGTAAGAGACACCGGGGCAGGTGATTGTGGGACAGGTGACACAGGGGCAGGAGACAGTGGTGTAGGAGACAGTGGAGTAAGAGACACCAGGGCAGGTGATTGTGGGACAGCTGACACAGGGGCAGGAGACAGTGGTAGAGGAGACAGTGGAGTAAGAGACACTGGGGCAGGTGATTGTGGGACAGCTGAAGCCGAAGCAAGGGATGCTAGAGTAGGTGATGCTGGGGTTGGTAACGCTGGGGCGAGATCAACCAAAGGTGTGTCAGCTTCTGAATCTTCAGGTTCTGGCTCTTTACAAACTGCTTTAACAGACTCAGGGATGAGTTCAGGGAGAGGAGTGGCCACCTTGGTGCAACCTGGTATCATGTCTTCAAATGGGTCTTTTTCTGTAACAGACACTAGAGGGGGGTCTTCTTTCACAGGCTGTGGTACAGCCGCCGCCGCCGCCGCCGCCTCCTCCTCCTCCTCCTCCTCCTCCTCCTCCTCCTCCTCCTCCACCTTTGGTGCCACCGGCTCATCAACAGCGACATCAACAGCTGTCTTAACGCTGGTTTCGACTCTGTAAACCGCACAGATAATGAATGAAATGGAAGGAACAGGAGTCACTTGTTGCACTGGAAATAGAAACATGGCAAAGGACTCACATTTTCCGCGGTCGGGGCTGAGGCGCAGAGGCAACAGATGTGACAGGGACGACGGGGAAGGAGGGGGGCGGAGTGCTGGCAGGTGCTGGAGTCGCAGCACTCTCATCATCATCGGTAATCTCCACCCTGCGTATTTGTAGCCAAGCACACGTGCACATGAATGCATGTGTGGGGTTTGGGTGTGCACACACGTAAGAAACAGACAGACAGAGTGACGTTTGATTACATACTTGGACTTTTTCTTTTGAGGGTATAGAAATATTAGAGGGAGCGTTTACCTTTTAGCCACAAATGATTGAATGTTGTTGACTGGTGAAGTGTCAAGTGCTTTTTCTTGAGACCTGAGGTTTTTCAAAACACAGATTTTGTAAATACCTCCATAAATGCTCTCCATCTATACTCACATGAGTGATTTTCACTTCTTTTAAAATTTAAGAATTCCAGATTGAGTGCCAAGCTTAACTTTAGGAGAGTGACATAAGATATACATACTCGTATTTCTTAGCAGCAGAAAGTACATAAGACCGGTGCCTGACTGCAGATTTCTTCAGAACACTGCTGGCTGCCTCTGTCCTGTTAAATGAATCATTATGATGATAATCCAATCTCTATTCTGGGCATGTGAGTTCAAATTGGATTGTGTTTCTTTGCGCAAGAAGAGTCTTACCGTTTCTCCTGCTCCTCGTTGCTAAGCTGGCCCTCCTTGTTCTCCAAAGTGGACCTCACAGTGTAGGGAGCTCTAAGGAACAGAAGCACAAACATACGCTGCATGAAAATAAATTCTCACTTAACTGCCAGCAGCTAACTGGGAACCTGATTTGTGTGAGCTCACATTTTCTTGTAGGTCTCTGAAGGTTTTTTTGTGAATTGTGTTGTTTTGCTGTGAAGAGAAAAAAAGCAGATAACATTAATGTAGGAACCAGAGAGGAAAAGGCGCATATTTAGTCACACGATTAACTCTGCTTATTGAAGTAACAGAAGCTCTTACCTTAAGCCGTTAGATGTTGAGGTTGAAGCAGGCTTGTCTAGTTTAGTGAAAATGCCTCTGAAAGAAAAACAAAAAGTGTGAGTTGATACTACTACTTTCTCCGGTGTGACCACATAGTTGCCATTTTTCTGTGTTCAGATATCTGCTTTTGATTTTATTTTAAATTGGGTGTCTAAATGTGCAAGTGCTGGTCTTTACCTGATCAGGAATCCTGATGTTGGTGCTCTAAATTCAAAACAGAGACTCGTTATCAGCACAATCGTGTTTTTTTTGGGAGATTTCCAAACAGTAGATAACTCTGTGACATTAGAAACCTGTGTTTACCTTTCAGTATCTGTCTTGGTGGGTGGTGGAGTGGTTTCTGTCGGTGAGGACACTGGACTGGTCTCAATAGGGGCTCCGTTCAAACGTCTGGCCCTTACTTCTGCTACCCTGCATAGATGCAAACAAACCTGGTTTTACCTATTCAAGTGAGCGAGTACTGCATAACATTGACAGGACCCTATTTAAACATGTTTGTTACCATGGTTTCTCCTCCGTGGTTTCAGCCTGAGGTTCATTGCGGGGCTGCATCCAGCTGCAGTCTCCCTTCAGCCTGGTCCGCACTTTGGTGGTGCGGAACACAGCTGCTTTATCCCCCTCTGAGACACAAACATGTGCATGTCACACACACCATCTGAGATATTATACACACTCTAGGCCGCATCATAATGACATCTTAATCAGCATCTGCTTGATAGCATGGATGATATTCAGTCCTCTTTGGCCCTGACACACACCACATAGTCAGCTGCTTGTATTTTTGCATCCAATCAGGACAATGACAGAAGATCGAAGAATTTACAGTCACCAGTCTGGCACAGAGACACGCCCTCTGCTCACATTCAGATCAGATCAGTCAGCCTGCTTACCTCTTGACATGCTTGTCCTATGGGTTTTGCTGTCTTCTTTCTTTTGTTTTCTTCACAGGCCACCTAAAAAATATATTGGAACCGCATTAAGACAGAGGCAGCGTTAAAAGAAATTGTGCAATTTGGAGGAATTTCTTCCAACATAGTCAGTTTCGAAATAGTTCTTCCCACGCTTCGTTCCCTCCCAATACGGAACATGTGCTGTGTAAAGAATTCCTCAGTCTCATCCTTTAGACATGTAGATGATCCTGTCCTACCACTTTCCAAAACAAAAAAAATACTGCTGTTGCCTAAATATGAATGGACACACACATACAGACACACACATAGATAAAAATATATATATATATATTGTGTTTGGATACAAACATATATGAGCACAGAATTATTATGTTTGTGATATGGCAAATATTGCTTCCTTTCACACATATCCAAATAAGTTGACCCCTCAGTTATTTATGGTCAAAAACAAACTGCTTAGAGGCAAACCCACTTCCCCGGGGAACTGAATAAGAAAAGGAAAATACTAATGAAACACAGACGAGTGTTCCCTTATCTGAGAGTAGGAGCAGACTACAGCTTATGCAAAATTGCGGATGACTGCCAAATTCAGAATGCAAATATAACTTGTTGAACTCCTGGGGCTGTGAATCTACTTCTTCTATAGCACGTCGCCATAATATCTCTTGAGGATATTGGCCTCAATATTGGTGACCGAGCAAATATACTGAGGGCTCAGAAAGCATATTTATCTTAGGTTTAACACATCAGTCCACGCAAGATAAATGATTGATGAAGAGCTACAGCGTTCAGCGAGCAAGGAGCAGGATAGACAACTCTACTGACAAGCAATCATGACGGGGGGAAACACCCAGACAAATGAGAGGGCAAACACTGACAATCCCCGGTTAACGCTTTAAGCAGTTTATGTAGCATGACTGATTACTTTTAAATTCTTGTTTTTACAGTTGCTGATTACTGAAGCTCTAAATACTGAATATATCCAGATCATTTTTGCTAAATCTTGTTGAAATCAACACACCTGCCAGCCAGAGCGAACCCTACCTGCTTTCACTTGATATCCAGCACAGCAACGTCGTCCACGCAGCTCAGTCGAAAGTCTGATAGTGTGGCTGCTGTGAGCAGAGGGGAAGTCTTTCTCTGTCTGACAGGTGTTTCGGTCCCAGTACTGGAGAACAGGTACGGGCGTGAGCACTAACAAGCCCAGCTAGTCATGGAAGGTGGATTTGGGGTGGAGCTGTGTGTGTGTGTGTGTGTGTGTGTGTGTGTGTGTGTGCGTGTGCGTGTGCGTGCGTAATAGAGGTTGCTAAGAACTCTTTTTTTTTTGTTTACTACATCTGTGCTTTGTTCGTGGTAGTCGAGCAAGCACATACCTGTCGTACAGGTGGCTGACACTCAATTCTGAGAGAGAGCGCGAGGCAGAAGGGAAGAGGGCGACAACAGGGGCGCGCGCAGCACGGCGCACACACAAATGAAGCGACTCACAGCAACATCTCCTGTGGGAACGCTGCTCTCATGCTCACTGGGTAGGAAAAGCCAGAAAGCACAGACATCATTAAAATTAGATCAAGAACAACACACACAGCTGAACTGAGATGAACAGAAACACTGGTGCACACATATAAAAAGCCAATCTTGACATAAAAAGATGGAATATATTGAATTCTAATTTTAGATTGGAAATAAAAACAATTGCTTTTTCATGTTTTTATGCAAATAGTTACACAACAAGTTGACTTAGTTTAACCTTTTGTAGTGCATAGTCTAGGTAAAGGCAGATGAAAGCCTATAATAAACAAAGTGTTTGCTCAATCTGAGTGACTCTGTCTGAGTGTCTATGTTTGTATAAGTGAAAGACAAGAAAATTACAACTCCATGCTCCTGCAATTGTCACAACAATTTCTTCAACAAATTGCAACAAAAAGCACTTTCTGTGCCACTGGCCACAGTATGCACTCTTTGAAAACACAACATGGTTATTAGGCGACCACTGTTTCTATACAAAAGCTCTCTCACACATGCTGTGCATACATTTACAAAGCTTTTTCAAATCAGAAAAGGGTGTGAATAGATTTTGCAACATGTAAGAAGAGAGAGAGTGGAAGAGGAAATTAGCATGTCAGAGCCAAAGTTTCACTCTAGTGAGCACTTTGGCAAGTGTAAACGCTCAAGTCTATTATCTTCATGGATCCCTCTCCCTCTTTCCCCTATACAACAAACCAGTCAGACGGCCTTGCCCGTTGGTGCTGACTCTCGCAGTGAATCATTAGGGTGCTGCTTACGCAGAATTAAAAGTAGAATGCAAAGTATCTGAACTTAACCCTCACTTTGTTGTCACCACACCAAGACAGGAATGAAAACTGCTTTGCCTAGAAAAGGCAGAGCTCTGTAGCAGCTGATTGATAAATTTATCATGAATACTGTGAACATTAGACACTGTAGTGTCTAAAAGTTCAAGTTTTTATGACTTTGTCATCATCAAAATGACAGATGGAATGAGGAAAAAAAAAGATTGTACCTTATGATGTATTCTCACTGCCCATCCCATTATTGTATTCGATGACAGTCCTTCAATAGTATTCTAGCAGATTCCTTAACTCATAGAAACACATGCCATCCTAATGATATACAGATACTGCAGTGTTAGAGTGAAGGTATAAGGTGTGTTTGAAACATGTGAATAGGAATATGAAAATACATTATATGGCTGAAAAATATTAGTGACATATCTGTTTGTTTAGCATCTCATTTGTAAAGTTTGTCTTAAAACCATTTAAACAGCTTTTGATTGCTGTAATTGTTCCTCTGGTCCATTATATCCATTATAGAGTTCCAAATACAATACTAATATGAGTTTGTGTTTAGTGCTAAATTCCCTCTTTTTGTGTGTTTCCTTGCTTAGCTATTATGGAGGGATAGTTAACCGAAGTGATAATAATGCACTAAACACAATGCACAATCATTTTGGAAGATACCCATTGAATTGTTGATCTCAGACTGCTAAAGCCTCATATTAGCTTTGGTTAAACTTTCAACAAACTTTCCATCATAATGAAGACTTCTAATAGACGTATATACATAATCGACTTATAATAGCATTAGGAAGGGATCCTGTTGTGGTCAGTATGGACCGCAGGAACAATTACAACAACCAAAAACAGTTTCATGTACAAATTGGGATGTATACTTTTAGGACAGACCTGGTCACTGATATTTTTCAGCAAAAAGGCCTGCCTTGCAGTAGCTTTCTCGTGATTATTCCAAAACTAAATAAACCCACCCCAAAAGTACACATCCTTGTCCATATACTTTGGTCATATAATATAAAGCCAGTCATCATTTTTAACAATAATTTTCATTCAAGTTGTATCAGGAGACTTGTTGTTTAGAAGAATGTATTAAGGCATTTTGACATAAACAGCAGCATCTCAATGTGTGTACATCTTTGCAGTTTTCACAGTATAAGTGTCAGTATATGTAAGTTGTCATAAACGGTGCTTTTAACATTTACTAAGTGCTTTAAAACTTTTATAATAGCAGACTGCAGTGTGTTGACCGAAACCAGGATCATCTGCTGCCATCTGCTGGTGAAAATGGTACATAAACGTTGAAAAGGCACACAAATGCTACACATTCTGGGGTTTGGATAAAGATAAACTGTTCATTTTGAATTGTCCATTCAGTGCGCGCTGATAATCTCATTCTCATTGTGAGTGTAACTGTACTAACGCCCACAGGCTTGCATGTCACAACAGTCTCCACCTCCATTCTGCCATCAAGCACCTTGTCTGAGATGAGGGTAGCTCTGCACTGTGCGTGCTACCCCCTCCTTCAGACTGACTATTGGTTTGTAGCCCAGGTCCTGCTTGGCACGGTCACAGCAATAGTAGTGGTGGGTTCCAGCCAGGGCCACTCTCATTGGTGTAAAGGTTGGTTTAAAGGACACTAGAGGGCGCAGGATCAGGGCCAGCAGCCAGAGGAGCAGGGCCAATCCGTAAACAAGAGTGTAGGGGAGGTGGTAGCGGGGAGCAGCGTATCCCAGACCCACCAACACTTCAGACATGAAGTCCCAGAATCTAATTGGCTCGTCATTGGTGATGTGGTATGCCTGAAAAAGAAGCAGATGATACAAAGATTTCAGAGATTAAGTAAAAAATGCAGATTATCCCTTTAAGATTACACCCCAAGTCATATAGTACCCCAATTTAACAATTTATGCCAAAAATATATATCAATATCCAATTTTCCACCCATCAATCAATCACTTTTAGCAATACAGACCGAAGATTCATGAGTAAGCAACAGCACGGCTCTTTGCCAAAGTGTTTCTGGGGTCTAGGCCTCACTTTACTGTATAAAAATATAACTATCACTTATTTGAGTGAAATTGGATCATATTTAATTTAGAAAATACTGTCTTCTTTTCAATCTGACATCCTCCGGCTGCTCTGCCTCAACTCAACGCTCACAGCTGCTTTAGCTGCCATTAACATGCAACAGAACGGGCATCAGATGCTCCCGGTCTGGCAATGTTGTTAACTGGGAGCTCCCAGTCTGGCAGGGTCAGCCAAAAGGTCTGCTATAGCTACTTTAAATTCTGTTTGTAAAGCATGTACAAATAAAAATTCTGACCCTGAAGGATAAGGTGCGTAACTAGCGATATAAATTCATGCCCAGAATACTTTAAAACGGCGATACCATGAGGTCAGCTCTGCGTTCGATTTTATTCTCACTCACTTTTCCACATGTGGGGGAGTCTGACCTCAGGCATTCAGCAGCCAGGATATGGCCATGAACTACATTCTCCACAAATGTGAAATCCACCAGATTGGTCCCATCGCTGAAGAAAACAAAGACAGAGAATTGAATAAAGAAATATACAAACAAGCACCAAGGATCTAAAAAAAACAAGAATAAAAGTTAATCATTCAGCACAACAGTCTGTGGGCAGAGGCACTACCTCACTACAAATTAAAGTTTTCAAGAGGCAGGGGAGTAGTGGGTAGGCCAGCGAGTGAGTGAGTGTGGTTTAGGAGTGGAAAGGTAGGAGTAGAAGTGGGTTAGACATAACATTTCAGAACTCAGTATTTTCCCCAACACTGAAAGACCATAAATACATGCACATATGAGGATCTTAGAAGTGTGTCAGACAAGCAACAGTGATGCTTGAAAGGTTAGCAGGACTAGCTACTGGTGTCTGTGTGCTAGTGTTGCCTTCAGAGGCCATTGCTAAATTAGCAGTGTGCACCACTTCACGTCAATTTTGTAACTTTGCACACTGCACAGGTTTAATAGAGCTGTGTATTCATATTTACGAAGACATTCAGCCATTAGAGTCTGGGGAGTACTGACAGTCTGCTGTTGGTATTTATAAAATGAATCTTAGCTTCCAATACATGAACCACAGCAAGTCATACATATTTGTATGTTTTTTTTATATTTTACAGTGAATATTTCTGAAATGAGCCATCTTTTCTATTTATATAAGCATATGAAACTAACTGGATCGGCATTGGCATCATTAAACCCCACGACTCACCCAATGATGAACTTCATTTTGCCCCTGCGAGCTGTATCCACAAGGATAGGAACCAGCTGTGGGTCCCGAGGGCCAAAGATACCATGAGGCCGGATGGCAACTGTGAGGAAACCCTTCTCCTTGTGACAAGCCTCGAGGACCAACTAAAACACAAAAGGCAGTAGAAAATATTCAACACTTTGCATACTGCAAAACAGAGGATGCTGCAAAAGAGCGCTCTTATCATTTGCTCCCCTCTCTCTCATTGGTGTGACTGATTGTGGAGAGCACGTGGTAGATGACACAAATATTGGAGGGGAAGGATGCGCCCACCACTGCTGAAGATGATTTTATGTTGTTGTATAGGGTTGTTGTGCTAATTGTATAAAATAAGGTGATCTGATCTCACCATTAGGAAGGAGAACATTATTACACCATTACATTATAATCACTGACTTTGATTTGAGGAAGAAAACACATGCCAAAGTGGAGAAAAAAATGCAAACTCCACAAATAAATGAATCAAATGTTTTGAGGCAACAGTGCCAACCACTGGGCTACACTGGTGAAACCAGTAAACTCAAATTGAAACAACCACTCTACCTTTTCTTGCTCAATCTTGGTCTCTGTGTAATAGTCGATGGGCTTCTTGGCGTACGGTAGATCCTCTCTCCCATTTTTAATGTCTGTCCCTTCAAACACAACACTGGCACTACTTGTCAGGACCAGTTTCTGGCAAAAGCAAACAGATCAACCACTTTAATGACATCTTTAATCCTTGAACAGTAAATCCTAGACATAAACAACAACAACAACAACAACAAAAAACAAAAAAGAACCCCTGGCTGCGTCTCCCCCCACTGCCTCACCTGTACTCCGACCTCAATGCAGGCCTGAATAACGGTGCGTGTGCCCTGGATGTTGACCCTCTCAAACAGCCTACGGTCATCGCTGGCAGGGGCCGGGGAAGCGCAGTGGAAGACCAGGGACACGTCCTTCAGAGCTGGCAGCAGAGCCTGGGGGCAGAATGTGACAAAAACCACACAGCTATTGACAACTGCATCAGACGCAGTGACTGGACGAGGCCAGAAATATATTTTTTAAAGTCTTTGGGGACACTCTAAATCCTTAAAAACAGCACTGTATTTGAACATTTTCCTACATGTCACTGCCTTGTTTACTTTATATTGTTCCAGAAATGTCAACACTTGACTGCTTTTGGTTTTGTGTTTAGTCTTTAGGGAGTCAAGTCTCTCAACAGTCAGGTCAAGTCTCAAGTCCCCCATTTTTGTGATTTTAAGTCTGACTGAGAGTGTCACCTGTTTGTCGCAGAGGTCTCCCTGGTGGAAGGTGACACCAGGCAGCTCGTAGCTCTGACGGATGTCGAACACAGAGACAGAGTAGCCTCGATCCAACAGCTTCTCCACCAGGTGTCTGCCCAAGAAACCAGACCCCCCGATGACTGCACAGCGTTTATTACTCTGAATGACACACAGAAAGCAAATATTAATACATAATAAACAAAACAACAACACTAGCATCATGAAAAGTTAAAGCAGATTTGCATCATAAAAAGGGGTTTAACTCACCGGTCGAACGCGCGTGGCCATAATGAATGAGAAGTGACCTACAGGTGAGATAAACTACCTGGACCCCGGAACAGGCACTGTGGTGAAAATGTAACTAAAAGTGTTTCCTAACTCTAAAACACGGGTGGAACAAATGTGACAACTTTTAACGTGAGAAGAAGCACGCGACACTGTGCTATTTTACCTGCAGTCGGCGCGTGCCACTAAAACCGCGCACGAACCGTGAAGTGTCTGAATCAGCTGAGCGAGGAGTGCTCTGTAATTGGTCGAGCCAACGCTCGGCACAAATGTGACGTTCGAGTGTAGCCAATGGTGTACAGAATACGTCAAAGAACGCCACAATTTAAACCAATCGGAGACCACAAAGTGATTCCATCCGCCTCCTCGCTCGAAGACCACGCCCCCTGACGTGCCTCAGCCCAATGAGCCAGTGGGTTAATGTATCACCGTCAATATTCATGTTTTTCTGCAACGTATTTTGTTCTAGTATTTGTTGGTTTAGTCAGACGTATTATTAAGTAAAAAAGATAAACAAAGGAAAAAAACATACAAACACCAGTTTATTTCGGTGCAAATGGAACAACTGCATGAGAAACGTGTAATAGAAGAAAACAAATACACTATATATTGAGAAGAGGATAATGGCAAAATTAACAGAAATGGTATCATTAAAACTGGTATAAAATAGTGTTCAAGCAGATATTTATATGTATGTCATTGCTGTACTGTGGACCTTTCCAGTAATAATATTATTAAATAATAAAGGCTTTCTTCAGAAGTGCCCTCTTGGTCACAGAGGCCGTGGATGATGGCTTATTCCATTTATTATATGATTATTAGCTTTTTTAAATTGTATTATTACTTGCTTTTCACCACAATTATCTTATTATTCTCTATATGATAATCATCTTCTATTGTACTCGAAGAAGCTCTGATTTGACAGGGTGGGTTTATTGTATTGAGGTACAGAGTAGCAGGAGAACATGCTCAATTTATATATTGTATATGTAATATTATATATTTTGCATGGTACAAAGACTTCCTCATTATCAATATTCTGTTCCCGTATTTTATATTTCCATGGAAAGCAGATGAGGGTTCTCTGATCGTGTCTTGCGCCATGTGGTCGTCAGCAACCAATCATATTTTTGCCCGACTGGTGCGTTTGATTTTCACTCCCATTTGTACCTGTGTGACTTTAGATTTAGCTCCTCAGTGGCCAGGAAACAACTGGCTCCTCTGCTGGCACCAAGGGTGAACAAATCAAACGCCCGGGCTCCACACCAGCAGCTGCTGAGCAGTGAAACCTGTGCATGCTGTTAGCTAGAAAACGTTCATTTTCTGCACATTTTAGCGACTATTGCTGCGAAATAAATAGACTGTTTTGAGGAATACGAGACTATCTTTCATTCAAGGTGGTTAAACGATTAATGCGAGGAACTGATGTAAAGTGTAAACCGTTGCATCGTCTCCTCCTCCTCCTCTTCCCTAAATGATAGGGAGGCTTCATAGCAGAGGAAAACAGGGGAAAACATTGATTGCTTAACAGATCTGCAGTTCCTTTTTATCAATCAAATATACAGCAACAGATGGTGAGTGAAAATGATTCAGAATAACCTAGTAATCTATGTTAGTGTGTTAGATTTTAGCCATATGTGATGGATATTTACATTATTCCATATTCCATATGAACCATTTGGTTTTTATAGGTCTGGTGAAATTCTGATGTCATCATAGACGCAGTGGCTCTCATGTCTTTTACCATTTTTCCCCCCTCTGCCTCCATTCCTGTTTGCCCACCAGGCGACCAGTGCCAAGAGACCATCCCTGCAGGGTCCTGTCCCACCTCCTCGCAAGAAGACAACCCCCAAACCAGAGCTGACCGAGGAGCAGAAGCAGGAGATCAGGGAGGCCTTTGAGCTGTTTGACACCGATGGATCCGGATTCATCGATGTCAAGGAGCTCAAGGTAAAAGTTCTCAAACACAAATCACAATCAACATGTGTCGGTCTGGGGGGTGCTTATGCTTCACTCTCCTCCTTTCTCACACTGTGCCAGGTTGCGATGAGAGCTCTGGGGTTTGAACCGAAGAAGGAGGAGATCAAGAAGATGATTGGTGAGGTGGACAAGGACGGCATAGGAAAAATCTCCTTTGCTGACTTCCTCGCTGTCATGACACAGAAAATGGTAGATATCTATGTCAAGAAATATACTACATGCATTCCTATTGCCTGCAACTTCAACACACATTTCTTTTTAGCTTTAAATTTGAGTTACTGGTCTTGTTGTTCAGATTGCAAAAAGCAGGTTTTAATTCTGGACTTTCCACCTATTCACTTCCCACTGACTCTCCTGCTTTCACACAAACTGGCCACATTTCTTAGAGTTTATGATGTGGTGGTCCTCTCGTCTGTCCTTCAATGACCACATACCTCCTACAGAAAGGCAGTTTGGGGTAAAACTACTCTCCATCTTCTCCGATTTTAGGCTGAGAAGGACTCCAAAGAGGAGATCCTGAAAGCTTTCCGCCTCTTTGATGATGACGAGACGGGCAAGATCTCATTCAAGAATCTGAAAAGAGTAGCCAAAGAGCTGGGAGAGAACCTCACAGATGAAGAGCTGCAGGTAAAAGCACTTAATTGTGTAATAAAACAATATTCAGATACCTGAATGCAGCCGAACGTCATGCCTCCAATTCTGAATAATGTTTATTGCTCATGAATGCTTTAAAACTCAGTGGATTTGCCTCTTCCATCCCTCCAATCATATTTTCATTATCGCTTATTATTGTGTGTTTGTGAAGGAGATGATAGATGAAGCAGACAGGGATGGAGATGGAGAAGTGAACCAGCAGGAGTTCCTGCGTATTATGAAGAAGACCTGCCTGTACTGAAGGAAGTGCATGACATCAGGGTTGGTGATGTGGAGGGGACCAGTGGTGGTTTTACATGTAATGCTGCTCATATATCTACTTGTATCTCCCTAATATTGTGTTGTGCCATACATTTTCACTTACAATGAGGTTTAACAGTCACATACTACACTGAGAGGAAACCGTTTAAGACTTGAGCACAAAGTCTGGTCAAATGCCAAATTATCCTCCTTTTTATTTACTTGATAATCTTCATCACATTTGCCAAAAACAAAAGAGAAAACTCTCTTTCCTGTTTGGAATGCTGCATACTTTTATGAAGAATACACTCATGATATTAATGATAATATATAGGTTATTTGTTGTCAAGAAAATTCTCAGTGCCTACGTCAATATGGTGACAAAGAGTACATTCCAATGCTTTGATTAATAATACAGTTTGTGCGTTATTCACATGTAGATTGTTTGGTTTATACTGGTAACTCCAGTGTTTCATGTTTTTGGCTTTTGTATGCTGGTTTTCCAGAGAAATGTACAATGTGAGCAGTTGGTTAACCGCTGATGATTGGGGAGCGCTGTCTCATCTCAGTGCTTCCTGTGGATTTGTGCCTGTGCCTCTTTAGAGGGGTGATCAACACAATCAGGGAAGCTGCCCGACCTCTCTCACCTGCATATCTTCCCGCTATCTTTAAAATCTGATTGATTGTGTATGTATTTTTCTCGTAGCATTGAGTATTTATCCCTCTGTATTCTTGAATGTTTTGTATAATACATAGTGATTTTAATGAGTAGACATACAGCATATAAGTGTTTAAGGTACAGATTAAATATATTGAAGCAGATATGTTTTGTCTTCTATTTGTCATTATTGTCCTGTCCATATACCTCGAGTAGTTATCAGTGTTTGAACAGCTTGACTCTTCGATTTTTTTACTCACATCATAAACGCTTGATTTTATTCTACTGCTGCTAATAAAACACACATTGTTTGCCTTTGAAATGCAAATGGGTTACAGGAAGATGCTGCTGCCTTACCACAGCATATTGACTCATCTATTCAACCTCACTGTCAAACAAGTAAATTCAAAGCGTGATGCAATAAATGCGGAAAGCCATACAGGAAGATACTGCTCTTCGCATTCAGGCATAGAATTTTTTTTATTAATAGCAGCTCCACAAATAAATGTTTATCAGGCTTTAAGACAAACTGCAGCCTGCCGTATCCTTTTCTGCAGCTCCCTTGAGCGGTAGCCATAGACCAGAGGGATGAGTGACACCCCCAGGTTATAGTTGATGGTGGTTGCTATATCAAGAGCATCACTGTGCAGGTAACCAGGGATCAGGTAGCTGTCCATGACCGCAGGAACAGAAAAGAGAACAGTCTGAGCTACCTGGAGGGTCAGGGTCACCCAAGCTCTCTTGGTGCACAGCAGTCCTGCACTCATGTCCCAGCAGAGCAGGCAGAAGCATCCGAGGATGGTCAGAAAACACAGAGGCACCACGACAGCACTTACCAAGGTGCAATAAAGTATCGGAGCCGATGTCCCAGACAGGCAGGGCGTGAGAATGAGAGGTCGACAGCGGGGAAGGGGAAAATTGACCTGGATGGTGTTGAGGCTGATACACAAAGCCACACTGGGGAGCACAGCTGATAAAGTCCATATGGCTGCAACAGTTGCTCCCTTCCTTTGAGGACACATCATAAATTCATAGCGCAGGGGCCACTTTACAGCTACAAAGCGGTCCACAGCCAGGGCAGCGCTCAGGAAGAGGGCCATCTGCACAAAAAAAGTGAAGATGCAACCCTCAGTTTTGGCTGTTACTTGCTATGTCAAGGTCTTAGAAGTGCAGTGTTCATAGTAAGTGAGTCAGAGCAGGCAGGCTATCAGAAAAGAGTAGATCTTTTAAAGAGGCTCAAGGAAAAACTCATTGAACTGATAAACTAACTGTGCTGCCCTTAGGTCAAAAATGTTGCTCCTGTCCATACTGGTTGTGAAGAGACTGCTTCCTAATGCAATTTCACTGTACTTTTAGTCCAATATTCTCTTTTTGTCACCATCCATCCACTGGAGCTCAACCAGGAGACATGGTCTTCAGATCAACTATGTCTGTGACTACTGAAGCAGAATATTAGCTTTGGTTTAACTAGAGAGGTAAATTTTATATGAGTTGTTCAGTGGATTCCGCCCCCATCACTTAAAGTATATTGGAATCCCATTAGGAAGGGATCCCCTCTTGGCCAATAAAGGAGGAAGTTGCCCTTTTCAAGTGGTCTACAAGTATAATTAGTTTCATCCTTTACCGTAGCTGTAAATCAATTTGACCCAAAAAAAAAAAAATGCATAAATGTAATCAATATTTTACAAACCAATGAGCAGGCCTGGGTAGCAGCACAGAAGATCAGACACTGGGTCACAGGTATACCTTCTCTGGATCTTAAGATAACTGCTTTGATTGTCCAGAGGAGCTGCTGAAATGGTAATGACAATCATCATTTAGCTTAAAAGTCAAAAGGCATATTATCATCCCAGTTATTATGAAAAGATATAGTGGCATGGTCTAGTAAAAATCCAAAGTCAAATAAGTGTGGACCTACCTGGAGGTTGTCACACAAGAGGAGGTGCATGAGGAGCAGGAAGCGAGTGTGTCTGAGCAGGGATGGGGAGCGTGTGATGACCAGGAGTAAAGGAACACTGAGTAAAGTGTTGAAGGTGCAGCTCACACACATGCTGACCATCTTAACCAGGTGGAAGATGGTGGAGTTGATCTGTGTCTGGGCCTCTAGTGTTGTCACATTGCATTGGATCTCCATGACATAAAGCTCCCTCTGATCTGTCCGACAGATGATTACAAGCCATTAACACCTGGCTAGTTCAACCACAAAAAATCTCTTTGACCTCTTCTCAAATAGGGGGGGAAGAAAATGGTAAAACACTCACCCTCGCATCCGTTTCAAAGGTGCTCTTCCCTCTTGAGCATTTCCGGTGTGACGGTGTGAGGGCTGGTTGCGACTGAATCATCCAGCTGTGCCAGCATTAAAGGCTGTGCATTTACTCAGCTTCACCGTGTAAACGTGTTAGACCTCAGGCCTTAAAACCTCATCCCCGGGGACAGTGATGTGTCAACAGCTAGCGTTTGTTATCAGGATCACATTTGCTTATTTATACAAAAGTCAGGGACAATGTTAACACATCTGCACAGAACTGTATTCTACCTGTCAATATTTGCCTGATAGCAGAGGCACAGTCATGGAAAACATAATGCCACCCACTCACAAACACATTACCATGTTTCTGTAAAATATTTAGAAAGATGCCTCAGACCTGGAAGTAGCCAATTCATTTAAAAGTAATTTACATTAAATCAGAATCAGAAGTAACATAAACAAGCCCTTGGTGTGGAAAAATACATAGTGTTTAGTTAAGGTATGGAGTTGTATGTAATGCATGGTTAAAACTTCCAAAACCAAAAACTGAGAAATACATAAAAGTCAAATATCCATTTAAAGCACAGTCACACATTAAAAACTTTATTTAGAGTTCATAACAGGAAAACTAGTCAAATATAAAAATTATATGGATCTAATCGTACCTTTACCTCAGTACTGTACAATGCCAATTCCTTAAACTGATAACAGATAACAAATACACCAAAAAGTGCACACAGACACACTCAGGAATGCTGGCTCAGATTTTCCAGTTACAGCAGATTGAGTCCATATTCACATACTGACAAATACAGAAATGACATGAAAAACACACAAAAAAATAGATTCAATATTCATCATCATAGCTGCTCACTAATGTAAAACTAGTTGACTGAGGTATTTCAGAATTTGAATAAGTCTCCTGTGGTTGTATAGCTCAGTCCATGCCTGTGAGTACAGTGAGCATTAAGATCTCAGCTTTGACTCAATTTAGTCTTGGAGGCAAAGTCGGCACTAAGTTTACGCATCACTTCCGCGTGGCCTTGTCCTGCTAGCTCCTGTCGTGCAGTCTTATAATTCTCTTTAACAAAGTTGGCAAAAGGTGTGGGGGCACGCGGCTTGGCAGGCGTCAGTAAGATCAGCTGTCCTGTGCAGAGCGCACACACGAACCTCTGCGTGTCCAGTGACTTGGAATGACGCCCAATCCTGTGAGGGAATCGTGGTAAAGTGTTAGGAAGATGAACACACAAGTCTGTGAATGAAAAGGTGAATAATGAACGATGTGAGTGTAATGGTTTTAATTCATCTGAAATCCGTCAGACGTACGTGTTCTGGCAGCGGGTGCACTGGTACTGGAACTTGTACTTGATGTCGTAACTGTGGCAGCGAGTGACCATGGGCAATTCAGGGTGCGCCACTGTGGCCTTGCGAGCGTACAGTTTCCAGAAGGGCCCGTGCCCATCCCTTACACCATTAATCAGCCAGGTTGCAGCGTGACACATCTCATGAATCAGTGTGTCCCTGAGACGATCTAGGAGGATGGAGCGATGAGAATGTGATGAAGAGATTCAATCAAATGTAAACAGACATGAAAAGTTTTATTATGCATGAAATATTTACATTCAGGGACCTTTGAGCAGACACAGTTCATTACTTTATCTGGCCTACTAAAGCATTACCTGCAGAATCACAGACTTTGTCTGACAGTTCAATGCGGGCATAGCGGCTCCCTCCACCTCGCTCCTGCCCAGTGATACAGAAACCAGCTGTTTTCCGCATCTTCTTATTCCAAGTCACTGACATATTGGTGGGGAGCTAGAAGTCATGTCACACAAGAAAAAACAAAGAATTTAAAAACAATGTAAGATACAAAGTTTAAATGGAATGGAAGCGGAATTTTTTTTTTCATTACCTTACTGTCAAACACACTGTTATTGTACAGCAGGTAGAGTTTACTAGTGAGTTCTTCCTTGTTCTGCTTAAAATTGCGGCCATAGCTGGTGCCAGGGTTTGATAAGGACTGCAAGAAGCACCCTGGGGTCTTACACAATGTTAGCCTAGGAAGGAAAGAACGGGGTGAATTAAACAGACAAACTGAGTGGGTGATAGGCACAATATACAATAAGACATTAAAACTTTGGAAAAGTCTGTCCAACATTCAAGTCTGTACATAAAATCTGGTCAACAGATGTACCTGCTGATGGGACCGTGTCTGGGCTCTGTCTGACTGACTGTGGGATTCGAGATGGCGGATTTTCCTGGTGTCTTCACATGCAGAGGTGTTTCCCTTAATGACTTAGTGGCTGGTCCCTTTGCACGAGGAACAGACACAGGAGGCTCCTTATTGCATTCTAAATTTACGAGCAAAAACAATAGATGTAAGCCTCACAACTAGAATGAAAACATAAGCTGGGCTGTTGGAAAGCGACAATCCAAATAAAACAGTTACCATGGGTGTTCTTTGGTGAGAATGAAGTGGCAGTAAAGTTGTTTTTCTTCTTCAGTCTCTCCAGCAAGGATGTGAACTCCTCCTCAGAACTGGCCGACTCATCCAGCTTAGAAGGTGCTGAAAGAGTGCGTTTGGGAGAGGCCAGTGATGTTGGCGTTTTGTGGGAAAGGAGAGAAAAAGGAGAAGGGAAGGGACTGTCCTCTTTATCACACTGCAGAGCAGTATTCTTGGTAGTCTTTGGCGAGGGCTTAGGTTTTGAGCGACGAGTCCGCCAAGTGCTCTTGACCACAATATTATCCTCATCATCACTGTCACTAACAAAGACTGGGGAGTCGCACTGAGACAGTGGTCTCCTGGGTGGACGGTGGGCCGCTGGAGTGGTACTCTTCGTAGGCACTGCAAAAAAGTGGATGCAAAACATCACCGTTATACAATTCAGTGTTACTTTTCTTAAATATAATGTCAGTACTGATTCAACGTTACCTTTAAAGGATGATTTTGTCTCAATAAAGTCATTATCTGATGAGTAGTCATCCACTATGAAGTTTTTGAGGCTTTAGAGTAAACAAAAGGTAAAACAGATTTTCTTTTAAACAAACTTTTCCAGACAGTGACAATGCATATGGAGGACAAATTAAATCAAAAACTCACCTATCTTCACTCCCACTCCCACTCTCTGATATTTTCTTAGGCTTGCCACCGGGGGTTTTCACTCGTTGTAGAACTTCAATGTGCAAAAAGAGGATATACAAGAGAAAAATATTACCAACCATATACATTTTCTTATCATCTAACTGATGTTGGAATTTGATTTATTGTGAATGGTTCGAGGTAAAGACGACTGTAAGATGCAGAAAAAGGCCACTTACATGTCTCAAAATCGTCGTCATCCGAGCTCAACACAAGAACATCTGAACTAAATAGAACAAAAATGGTTAAGTATTAGTAGTAAATCATGAATAAAACTTTAAATTTTTCTTAAAGTTGACATTTTCAGGGAACTCCATTTTCATACCTGCCTTTCTTTGCAGCACTACATGGTTTCTGTGAGGTAGGTTTAGCTTTCGGTGTAGCCCTTTCCCTAAGAACTTAGGAATAAAAAAAAGAAGGAAAATCTGTATATTTTTAAGCTGAGTCACACAATTTAACAATACAATTAGGGCTGTACCCGACTCAATACTAAGATTCGACTATTTGCTCCTTTTTTTCAGTTCAGTGTCACACTATACTCCAATATCAGCTTCCATAAGTCTCATGTTATGCCTTTCTTCATCATCTGTGATGTGGAACTATCAGATTTCCACAAAGTTAAAGAAAGTTTAAGTGTGCATCCTGCTCATACAGTAGTTCAGTAAAATCCCTGGGCACCCAGAGTGTCCCTGCCAGGCTGCTGACAATGCTGTCAGTCAGAGAGTCTATCACAGTGGACGTCCGTACGGGAGGTTGTACCACTGTCTAGTTCAAAAGTGGTTTAGCCGACTTCACTGACAGTCATCAGCAGAGCAGAGAGCGTTGGAGTAGCCAAAAGACTGAGTCACGCTGCCCTCTTCTCACTCTTCTCTGCTTCCATCACAGTTGGTTTTGTGGTTATTTTGAGACTGGATTGTAAAGGTTACAGCCTGCCATGTTGTTGCTCCTGCACTGTGTACAATGACGCAGCCAGAAAACAAAAGTGATAAGATTTGACAGACAAAATGCGAGTCGGCTCTGGGTTTTCTCAACTGAAACTCAAATCATCAAGTGTTCGGGGACAGGCGTATATAAAATACAATATTCATACAATTTAACTCACATTGGTCAAAGTCATCATCACTAGACTCGATCAACGACTTGTTTCTGTAATCGTTGCCCTTGGAGTATTGGTTCTCCTTGTCTGGATCATCCTCATCGTCAGAAAGGGTAAACTGGTCAGGTGAGGTCGATCGATGGACACTTGTGGCAGCGTGACGAGTCTTTCCAATTGTTTTTAACAGCTAGAAACAATGAAAACAGACAGATTTCCATCATAACTTATGTAAACATCCAAAACATTTAAATAGACTACCTATTATTTACTTAAATACTCATTTTTTAAATTCAGTTACTTTGACCAAAATGATTAACCCATGCTCAAAATAGTTGAAGATCAAGCAGCTGTCAATTGACTAATTGATTAATGATCTAATTGTTGCAATTAAATATATGTCTGTGAGCTGGTCTTTCTCCCAGTAAACCATACCAATCCTTAGTGTTACCATTAGTTTAGGCGTTATTACATTATATATATATATCAACTGTCTATGGTGGTAAGCAGGATGGGAAATCATCTTAAATGTGAACACCTACCAACCACTGACAGAAAAATGTTCAAATTCCCCAGCCATTCAATAGTAAATCATTCTTTTGTGAATTAAATCCAGCCACATTCATATTTCCCCAGCATTTGGCAGGTGGAGGGTGCCAACCCCCCCACCCTTCCTGTAACGTGGTACTGTCTGCAGGTTAATAATGTGTGCACAAACCTTTTTTTCTGCAGCGTCCAGTCCTTCCTCATCCGCGGTCCATCCCATCTTTTGAGCAAGTCTTTCAAATAATTTGCAGGTATTATCATTCATGGTTCCCTTTGCTCTGTGGAAAGAATACACAAACAAACACGACAGTCGTTTAAGATTTAAAGTCCAGCGCACAACAAACTGTCATAAAACCACGAAGTAAGGCTAGCTGGTGGTTAAAATAAATGCTTTTCAATTAACCAGTTCATTTTACTCTATTAACAAGAGTTTACCACACAAACAACATAAGTTAAGTTAGCTTACTGTAGCTAGAAACCTTAGCGTTACCGTTAGCGTCAACAGCTATCTTTTGTTTGGGCTCTAGCTACCTTTTTGAAACTGATTCAGGTTTTTCCGTTAGTATGTATGGCATGAATCTCTATAGACTATATATTAAAACATATTTCACTTGAGATATGATTACCAAACGCGCGTCTGTTGTTGTAAGTTAACATAAAAGGCACCGCGGTGGCACACGGAGCTAAGCGAAATTCAAATCGTGTTCTATTCCGTTAGACCGGAAGTTATCACGAAGGATTCGACCAATCGGAGCCGGCGGATGACGTTCTGTCCACGCCCACCACCAAACACCTTATGGAAGGATTGAAAAGGTGCAGAGGTAATATTGTTTTCATTCAGTGTTATACTTTACTTTTGTATAGAAAACATATAAACAACTTATGTTAAAAAAAAATAATATATTATTGTTTATTAAATCAGTATATGATCAAAATTAGCTCAACAAGCTTCAACATGTTCATACCATAGACCTAAGGGACTTTTCCAATGATCAGCATTTGAACTTTTTAAATTGAGTACATTTTGCTGACTTCATTATAATTTTGGTGCTGTGGTACACTACATTTACTCATGTAAAAGATATGAATGCACACATGCTCATACATACATACATACATACTAGTGAATTCATACTGTACTATTCTTGCATTTTAACACATTTAGATCCCATTTCCCTGCATTTATATTTAGTTAAAAAGTGTAGTATGATGCACATAATTGTCTATATATATTGTTTTGTAGTGTAATGCACACATTTTCAACCTTCTTGTAATTACTCTATGGTTACATAAATTTCAGTAACATGACAGAATTTCCAACTGGGGGTCAATTAAGTATTTCTGATTCTGATATGGTGACTGACAAGGTTAGGTGGAACAGATTGAACATTTTTATACATTTTGCTCCATTGATCTCAAGTACCAATAGAGGCTAAATCTACTGGAATAACCACCAATTTGTCATTTAAAATAGATTGCTACTACACATGAATACTAATGCTATAATAGCTTTCAAAACAAGGAAACAAAGGCTGATGTTTTTAACTTTTTATTGTTTTCACCAACAACTAAATCAAGTGAGCCGGAAAAGACAGCAGAGTTTTGCCATCTCTTTATTTTTTATTATATTTAGAGCCTCGTGGCATCATTGACAGCATACAGTTAACGGACAATACAAAAAGAAAAACTGCTTAGAAAATACTTACCTAGGCCGTTCCTGGTTTGAGTGATTAAAAAACAAGATCAATTTGTGAACAGCTCTGACATCTAAACTTAAATTTAGGCCCTTTCCAATGAATTGAAGCTCCTTTGTCCAGCTTTGTCCAATCATTTTTACAAGCATAGTGTGACATCAAACAGGACAACAGCTACTGAACATATTCCTTGATTGACAACAAAATTAATAAAAGTTGGCATTTGGTGAGGGGACGAAATCTTCATTCTAGACCATATTCCTCAAGACTCGCACATCTACTCATTGCAGTAATTTAATAACAGCTTAAGACAAACTAAAGAGCAGTTGCAACCTATTTTTTACAATTGTATGTTAAAGCTGATGAAACTTAAGTCAGGGTTACAATTTTCATGGTGCAACATTGTCCTTTTAAAACACACAACACTCTTAATCCATTTATAAATAGATCAACAAGTAATGACGGCTGGGCATTCCCTTCACAAGCTGCAATTAGTCCTGTACGCACACCGACAGGAGGAAAAAAAATAAAAATCCACTGATCCAAGTACTGAAGGGGTAAGCAGGGCATTCACAATCTTCTCATGCTCACCAATATACTGTGTTTTAGGACAAGAGTCTCAGATGAGGTGCCTGAAAGTCTCAGGCTCGATCTGGCTCAGGAAATGCAGATGTGTGATGCAACAACGAATGTGATGGGGGATGAATGTGTACATCTGTAGGCTCCTTCACAAATAAAGAGTCCCATTAATAGTAAATGAGAGAGATGGAGACAGTCATTCAGGGAGAAGGCTGGAGTGGAAATGGCCTATTCCAAGCTACGGTGCTGATAATGGTATAAAAAAACAAAACAAAAAAAAGATGGTGGGGAGGGCTGAACATGGTTGGGGTTATAAGGGAAAAGAAATCAGCGTGCTTCCAAGTTCAGGCATTCTCACTGGTCTCTACTGTCTGGACCAGGTGTTCAGGCTTGTTGCCATTGCTATAGTGCTCCCACATCTGCAGATAGAGCCTCTCCAGGTCCATTGTGTACAGCTTGGTGTTGAAAAGAGGGCTGCAGATTCGCTGCTTCCAGACACGTGCTCTGACCATCTTCAGGCTGAAGGAGACAAAGAAAACGGTCAGACTACGCAGTTAAACTACTATGTTTTTCAATAGTCAAGTCAAATTTTACTTACTATTCCATGTCAGATCCCAGTTTGACTGCTATGTCCTCATAGTCCTGGCGACTGTGGGCTATTAGCTCAGGGCAGCCAAGACAGTTGAGTTGTGAGGCGGCAACACGGGAGGCAAGGGTCTCACCTTTACAAAGAGGTTTAACAATTAAAAAACAACCTTCAATAGAATTCTTTTTTACTTCTTCTCTAGAATGACTAAAATAGTTTTATTGTATCAGTAATAAACAAGGGTTTTAAGTCAGTCCCTAGTGTTCTAACCTGGCATGGTGACCATGGGTGTTCCAGCCCAGAGAACATCCATGCCTGTGGTGTGACCATTGCATAGTGGAGTGTCTAGGCACACATCAGCCAGCTGGCCCCTTCTCACGTGCTCCTCCTTGGGGGCCACGGGAGAGAAGATGATGCGAGAGCCAGGCAGACCCATGTTCTGAGCGTACTGCTGGATATTGGGCTCGCCGACGGCGGGGAAACGAAGAAGCCACAACACACTGTTGGAAACGCGCTTCAGGATCTGCAGGTAGAGGTGAGTTTTAAAACAGATTAGCATATTTTTAAGTGCAGAGTTGAAGAAACCTTCAAAGCAGTTGTTATAATAAAGCCGGTCTAACTTACATTGGCCCACATCTGAAGAGTAGGGGGGTCGATCTTGTAGAGCTGGTTGAAGTTGCAGTAGACAATGGAGTCCTCTGGCAGACCATACTGGGAGCGGGTTGTCACAACGATTGTGCGTGGAACCTCCTCGCCAGTGGCAGCTTTGTTATTGATCTAAAATGGGGCATAATGCAGGGTTGCTTAGAGGTGGAGTTCTGAAGAGTTATTAAGTGGGATTTTTTGACAGTTTGAGCCTCTTGATGGTAATGAGCCTACTAGTGAGTATATGCTTTTTGGAAAGCCAAGACCGTAATATTAATTTTAACTATTCCCCTCACCAACAGTTCTGTGCTTTAACCTTATGTTCATGCAGACGCCATACCTGCAAGGAGGTTTCAGAGACTACAACCTCATCTGCTGAAAAGATCTGGAAAAGCGGCAAGCTAAATTAAATTGCTGCTCTTGGCTTGTTTCTGCATTTGTAGAGGTTTTGTAACCATATGAAATCCCTTAAGTTGTACATTTAGTTTCAAGTGTGTCCAACTCAGACATACCTGTGTGGTGGCCAGGCCATTGCTGACAGTGAAGCCATTGATCGTGACTTGGATTTGGCCTTGGTTGATCATGTTGATGATTGCTTCAGCTGCTGTGTTCATGGGGATAACGGGCATGGACAGAGCTCCATTTGTGTCCCCGGCAGCATCCTGGTTGTTGTCACACTTCATCTAGTCACAGAGAACAGTTTCAACTTATAATTAGAAACTATCTTTTTAACTGCATTATCCATATTGACATATTTCAATTTTTTTAAATGTTACCTGAATAAGCAGATATTAATAATATTTTCTCATTAACATAACACAAAGACAGAAATGACAAAGTACAAAGTAATAATACAAACACAAAATACTAACTAAATTCTCTAAACTCACCTTTATCACTTTCACATCAGGCAGACTGTCCAAGAAGGCCTTCAGATCAATACCATTAAGAACAATGCGGTTGTCAAAGATGTGTCCATTAGACTTGAAATCAATTACCGCCTTTTTCTGTGGGTCAATAAAAGAAAACCAACATTACAAACACTGATTTGATTTTATTAAACAAGAAACTTCAAAGAAACTGCAGTGATGTAAGGATGGACAAACCTTGAGGTGAGGGAACATGTTGGCATGGTCTCCAATGAAGAAAGTATTGGGCATGTAGGCCAGTTTCTCAGAATACTGCTCAGCTACTTCAACAGGTGATGTCTCCTTGTCAGAGATGATGTAGTCCATGAAGGGCGCCCCGCTAGTTCCAGGGTAACCCAGCCACATAGACTGTCGAAGGCGCAGAAACAAACAATTATTTGTGCATGCCAACCATATTTTGTATACACCCATGAGAGATCAGATTAATGTGATTGTAAAAGTGCAGTTATTTATTTGCACAGGCGACAATTAGAAGGAAATAACTGTAAATCAGAAATCATTAGGGCTTAAATGATTCCTTGAGTAATTATTTGCATCAGGGCTTTGTTTAATACATATAACTACATACAGCCAAATAGCTCACTGTGTTTTGCACGGATGATTACTGTCGCACAAAAGAGACAGGCCAGAGAAAACATACATTTTTGGTTTTGTTTCTGCTTGAAATGATCCCAAACTCTGGACAAAACCAAAACTCTGTAAAGTGTGTCTGTTTTTAAACCAAACTAGCTTGGCACAACAGCACAACGTCAGGGCTTCAAAAAGCCAGTTAGCTAGCAGCTAAAAACAGCAAACAACACATGGTAACTACGGTATTATACAGCAACCTAACGTTACCAGCCCATTGCTAAAAAAAACAATATAAAAAATCTGTCTTATCTTCTGTTTTGTAAATTTGATAGCTGCAGCTATGTATGTAGCACTTACCTGAATGGGTGCAGGGCGGAGGGCAAACAGCTCATTTCGGGCCCCCTTGGTGTATCCGTTCATGTTGACCAGAATGTGGATTCCATCCTGGTGAATACGATCAGCTGCCTTGCCATTGCAAGGAATCTGGAGGACAGAGGTACCAGTTTGAGTAAAAATGGCTTGCTCTGGACATCACATTACACACAACAATACTTTTGATGAAATGACCAGTCAGTTAAAAAACATCCTTAAGGTTAATATTTGCTCAGTAAATATACAAGTACTGATGAAGAAACAATCCCAAGTTGTAAAAGTTACCTGTGAGAGGTCTGTGAAATGATGAGCCTCTGCTACCACTTTTACGCGGAAGTTGGTACTGTCATCAGGGCTGAGCGCATAGCAGAACACCTTGAGGGAAAAAATGACTCATGCATTAACATATGCTATTACCAATACTTCATACATAATTTGATTGATGATTTCAGTAAACTCCTTGTATAGTTTACTGGTAAGATTGTAATAAGCAAAACATGAATTAATAAATATCACATACTTCAAATTTCTCAGGGTTGTGCATGCCAGGAATGGACTGCATCAGGTGGGAAGTAGGGTGGTTGCCAAAGTCAGAGCTGACGTAACCAACACGCAGACGTCCGCCGCTGGACTTCAGATCCTTCGGATGCTCATATGCAGGTTTGTGCAGTGCATTGATCTGTGGAATAAGCAACAGTGTAAGAATACAACTACATCAGGACAGACAATTCTAGTTTGAATTAGTCACACACACACACACACACACACACACACACACACACACACACACACACAGTAGCAATGGACTAACACCATAAAAAAACCACCACTCATTAATCTAAAATCTATGTCCAACCTTATACCATACCCTCATCCCTGCAAGCAACCCATTCACTACCAGCTTTCACCTCTTTTTCTACAAAATCATTAAATACATCCAGTATCTCTCCCATCCCTTACCTTCCCCCATATCCCTGCAGCCACTGCCATCACCAGCCACCTTCCATCCCCGCCCGCCCCCCCCCAAAAATGAATTAAAGTTTACTTGCTTTTATCAGTGCGTGTACCTTGTCCAGACAAAGGTTTCCGTGGCGTTCAGCAATGGCCTTGCGGAAGCCGTGTGAGAGTGGGTACAGCATGCTGTGATGAGGGTGCACTGAAGGCAAGCGATTCTTGTCCAGCTGGTCAGCCACAATGCTCACAAGCTTCTTCATCCGCTCATCATAATCTGTCCAGTCACACACAATCTGGAAAGAAGAAAAAAGTTAGAAAATCAATTTATAATTCAACAGGGTTAAAAATAAATACATGGCTTTTACATGTACTGTAAATATTTGACAAAGATACGAGCATATAACAACCTGTAGGCAATGTGCCAAGTTGCAGTAAGCATCAGGGAAGTCTGGCTTGAGTTTCAAGGCTGTGCGGTAAGAAGCAATGGCCTCTGGGATGTTTCCAGAATCCTAATTGTCAAAAGAAATATTAGAATACAAGCAACACAAACAGCAATATATTCTACTACACATAAAGGAGTAGTAACGTCCAAGTGTGCGTTATCTACATGCGACTCCTCAAAGCTATAAAAACTGTTCATTTGAAGACAGTAATATTGCAATGATCCATTATCAACTGTCCAAGACAGGAAGTGATATCCTACATATACAATTTTAACCAGCATGATCCCCATTAGTCAGTACAACATTATTGACCAATTCCAACAGTTTATAAAGCCCTTCAGTCCCACCTTGTGGATGGAGGCCAAATTGCTGTGAGCATCAGCAAAGGCGGGGTTGATCTGGATGGCACGGGTGTAGCATTGAAGCGCTCCCTGTACATCTTGCATTTCCTTCAGTGTATTGCCCATATTTGAGTAGGCATCAGCAAATGTGGGGCTGATCCTGAAATCATACAAGAAAAATGGTTTAAACACATGAACAAGAGCATTACTTGACTATGTTGAAATGAATGAAAAAAATCAAACTAGTCTCTGTTGAGGTTAAACTGTACAGAACATGGGGACAGTACATGTTCACATACACCACCACATTAATACAAACTAAGTACCTGTATCATAGATTTACAAACCTGATGGCCTCTTTGTAATGCATGAGGGCCTCCTGGAGTTTTCCTTGCTGCTGCAGGACACTGGCCAGGTTAGAGTGAGCTGCTGCAAACTCTGGGAACACCTGAACGAGAAATAAAAAGGGTTACTAAGAAAAGTACAAGAATACCATGCTCACATTTACAGCAATCATAATGGTTTTGTTAAAGACCTATAGGAAAATATCAAAAACAGAAACATTTCCTAACTCACCTCTAGTGCTTTTCTATAGAGCTGAACTGCCTCCTCAATGTTGCCCTGTTCACGCTTGATATTGGCCAAGTTGTTAAGGGAGTCTGCGTGGGTTGGACACAAACGCAAGGCCGTGTTGTAGCATTCTTCTGCTTCGGACACCTGTGAAAGAAACTTTAGGTTCAATTCAGTAAATTCTTACCAACTTAAAGATATTGCCACTTAGGATTGTGCAGATATGGGACACAAAGCACTGCCTTACATTGCCTTTCTCCTTCAGGGCATTTGCCAGATTGCAGTAGGCATCAGGGAAGTGCGGCTGCAATTCGATAGCACGACGGTAAGTGTCAATAGCCAGGTCAATGAGGCCTTGCTCGTAGTAGACACAGGCCAGGTTTCCATGTACAACTGCATGGTTTGGGCTAAGACTCAGGGCCCTTAGGTATCCAGCCACAGCTCTATAAACATAAGATAAGGAAGATATGGTGTTATGCTCAAGAACAGTGTAATTGCAAAATTGTGCACACACTTTAAACAAAGCCATAACTGTTAAAACATATTGTATACAGCACAAATGTATTTCTAAACTATTTCTGCAGTTTAGTTACAGCCCTAACCATGATGGTGAATCTGTGGGTGAAGCAATCGGCGCGGCTTAAACATGGTCTGTGACAACTACAAAGATCACAGCACAGACAAGGACGTAATGGAACGTTCTTGACTCATTCAAAATTACACGTGGGTGTGAAAGGGCGGTGTTCCTAAAGACAAAAGATTAGACATGAATGTATAAAGGGAGTATCATACTGTCTACTATGTCAACGTTTGACACACCTGTCAAAGATGCGGGCTTCCTTCAAGACGTTTCCCAAATTGATGTATGCGTCAAGGAAATTTGGGTCCAGGGTCACCGCCTAAATATGGAAAACAAACATTAAAAACATGGCACGACACAAGAACAAACAAAGACAGAAAGTAGTAGGATTGAAAACCGTTACGAAAGATGACACAACTGACCTTTTCAAAATGGTGTATGGCCAACCATATCTCTCCCTGGGCATTGAACACACAGCCCAGGTTGCTCCAAGCCACTGCAAAGTTGGGCTGAGTCTCAATGGCTTTCAGGTAACAAGCCTTCAATGGGTTTATAATAAAAAACCACAGGAAAGGAGGAGAAGAGGTAGGATGGGAGAGGTATAGTATGTAGAAGGGAGGGTAGGGGGTTGTAAAATAAAAATGAATAGAAGATTGAGAATAAAAGTAAGAAAAAACAAAAAGGGCAGAGAAAGCAAAATTAGTGACTATTCTCCATCATGGCAAAAAGTGAGTCTACAGCATGGGCTCGTGTGCGCACAAGTCTGCCGCGCTAAGCTGCATTGCTTTTTCCTACGCTGCGCGGATCCAACCAACAAGCACACGAAAGGCCCTCATCCTTCAGTTATGACCACATTCTCGCCAAATGTAGTGGTCCCCACATCAGGTACAGTGTGCAGCCCCCTAATATTATCAACACTGATTAGTTATAACCCAAAGTAGTAAATAGAATTTTTTAAAAAACAAATAAAAACACCAGCAATAACTGCATAGGCGCTGTATATTGTATGTGGGCATAATATCTCACAACCTAGGATGCTGGACAAGTCGTGCAAATGATGGTCCCTGTAATGCATGCGCAACAAACGCGAGCGCGCGGTGTGTGCGTGTCTTTTGCCACCACTACCACCACAATGCACCATATAATGCTGCTTGCGTGACCTTGCACCTGGCAAAAGTCATTGCTTCGCTGCTGCGCCGGCTGAATGGCCAGGTGAGACAGCTGCAGACCAACAACCCCTGGCAGAACACCTGCAGCACCAGACTGGCACACACTCAGCACCCAAAATGTATCTCAGAATAAAGGGGGCATTTTTGGGGGAATTTGGGGGTAATCAACCAGTAGCAGCACTGTGATGTTATGTCATTGGGCGTTTGAAAATAAACAGCCATTTGCGATTAGTAGGGATTTCCTATACATGTCAAATTAGGTGTTTTTCAAAGCCAATTATGTCTGAGATTTTGGGGCATTTGGGAGCGAGGCTGGTTGTGAGTGGGGAGAGGTCCGCAACCAACAGGCCAAAGGGAGTGAGGGGGTGGGGGTCGCTGCTTGCGCTTGCCGCCTTTTTGGTTGCTTCGAGGGTATCGCTGCGCAGCCCCTGCGCTACTGCAGACTCACAGCGCACTATTCTGCATCATCAGAACGCTGCAACTCCAAATAAAGAAGGAAAAACAAAACAAAATAGGAAAAATAAACAACATGTAAGAGTTAGAGGGATCTTACTTGATTTTCACGATTATTGCTTCCAAATCCAAGTTTCTTTTTACTTAATACAGAATTGGGTAATTAGTATAAGCATATTTTAAGAAATGCTTGCTTTAATTCGTTAAGTTACTTTTTTTCTTTTGGTCTTCAAAAGGAAGCCACAAGACAGAGGAGCTCAAGCATGAAGTGAGGTGGTTTTTCTTTTGTTGGCAGTTACAAACCCGTTACCATATTTTTGGACTTTGTCAGAGTGGTGGCCGCAGCTGGCTGGAAGAAGAGGAGAGGACTGAGGCTGCCCTAGTGTTCCTTTCCGCCAGGCACCTACGCAGGAATAGTGTCACCCACCTGAAACCTTCTAAATAACAATATCAGTTGTGGAAAAACCAAAAGAGACAAAATCAGAAAACAAGATCGTTAGTAGAAGTTTTCAAACAATACATTCTTCTTCTTCTTTTTTTTTTTATATGGAAATAAAACTGGTTCTTCCAAATCACAACAAACATAACAGACTATTCTTAGTTTTCATTCATGCAATGAATGTTTCATTTCAAAGAAAACAAAAGAAATGCTTTGAGGGTAACTGGGAGGGAAGAAAGGCTTTGATGTGTTCAGTTTAACATCGAAATATAGTCAGGCTTCCAGCTGTAGATCAATTCAGTTTTCATATGAAACTACAGGAGGGCAGTTACTGGCTTGATCTTGCCCAAATGAACTGATCCCATTTCTTTGGGAATAATATTACATATTTAAAAGGACAAGGGAAAAAGTATTAATCATTTCTTTTCTTTTACTCATTTTGCATGTTCATGAAATATTTTTCAAACTTTGATTTCTTTATCCTGGCCTGCTTTCTTGAATCCTGGCCAATGGGATAGGGAGAAAAATCTGTGGTGTAATTATTTGTATCTAGAAGCCTCCACAGCTCTGAAATAAAGAAGTCATCGCTTGCTGCGCTTGCTTCTGTCTTTCTAACCCAGCATCTGACGCAGGTGGTGGAGTACAGATTGTGAGCTGTCTGCTTGACGTAATTTGGACAAGGCACTTGAGAATGAGCTCCCTTAAACCCACACAATTAAACACTATTAAATAGCAGTGGATATCAGAATAGATAACCAGCTGGATTCAATTCTTAGTATCCACCAAAGACAAAAGAAAATCTAATGCATGTGTGCATGAAAAGCACACAAGCAAAAGGGATGTGCTTGAGCACTGACTGGGTATAGCTTAACAGTCAGGAAGACAGCTCTGAGCGCGCACACTCCACCAATCCTCAGCAAGCGCGCGGGGGGTGGAGCGACAGAGCAGGGGAGCTTGTGACTCCCTGGTGCTCCTCCCCACTCCTTGACCCCCCTCAAGCACGAAATAAGATGGCCTGTAACCAGTGGGACAACTCCACATCTCCAGATTTGATCCAACCCAGGCCCCCCCAGCCCCCCCCATATAGACAAGTTTTAAATGACAAATGAACGTGTAACAACCCCACCACTGGCAGTAACTGTACTGACAGCAAACTGAGACCAAAAGCTTGTCAATGGGCATTTGATAAGCTATATTGGAGTACAGTGGTTAGGTTAGAAACCATCTTATTTTTTGCACTGCAAAGGTATACTAGCTTCTCATCAGTTCATATATTCTTCAAAGACCGAGCCAGCATTTTCCCTCCAAAATCAACAATATGAAAATGCATGGGCCAAGGTCCAAAAATGACAATACAGATTCAATTTTTTCAATTTTAGAGCTCCAGCCTTTCTTCCTGAAAGGGGAGGGGGTGACCTCTTGTAAAAGGTCGGGGTAAAGAAAAGAACATTGGGACTAACAGTGACACAGGGTGGGGACAAATGTATAAGTGTCCTACACTGAAAAAATAGACATGAAGCTGTCTAAAAAGTAATCAAATCAAATGTGTGTACTATCATAAAAAAATACTGTTTTATTTTTTTTTTATTTTACAGAAAATGCAGTCCAATACTCCCACCAGTCTTTTAGCAAGTTATGGGTGAAAGGCTCACTGCAACTGGGAAAAATCAGAAAAGGCTATTCTTTGCTGTCCTTCACTTAGCAAAGGGGGTTGAAGGGAAAGGACTCAAATTGGATTTAAACTGTCAAAAAGGGAAAAGGGAATGTCGTCTATGCCCTTAGTGAGGGGGGAAACTAAAAACAAAAATGTATAGAGAAGGAAAAAAATAAAATAAAAAATAAAAATCTACAACAAAAATACAAACAACACATCTATACAAAGGCCAACCCGCTGTAACATACCTTAGCCTCTTCCAAACGCCCAAGGGCTTTAAGCAAGTTGCCCAAGTCACTTCGCACACAATAAAGATCCTGGGGAAAAAACAAACAAACATTTTAATTGTACTGCTACAATAAACCACAGATCAATTTATTACTCTAGAGTTAAGTGTCAATTTAAAGAGTAACTTGACACCCCTGAAAATTTTGTCTCTGCTGAGGGTTAGGGTTAGTGATGCACAGGTATATTTCAGGTTGCCATAACATCCCTGTTGTGTGTGGATAAAAGGTGCAACTGAGCACACTTCTGACCACACCAAACTATACCTATTAGTGATCCTGGGTGTGGTTAGAGGTGAAACAGGCTTGTGACTTCCAACAGGAAATGGCAGAAGTGCACTGCTTCTCAGCCTGGTGTTAAGTTACTCTGTAGCGTTTTCCATAAGGCTTTTCACTTACTGGGTTATACTGTAATGCAGACACGTAAGCCTGCACTGCTCCCTCCATGTCTCCTGCGGCCACCAGAGCTGCTGCCAAGTTGATGTATCCATCAATGAAATCTGGCTTCAGTCTCAGAGCATGGCGATAATGCTCTATGGCCTCCTGCAGTTGTCCACGCTCCTTGTACACGTTCCCCAGGTTGGAGTAGGCTTCAGCCAACATAGGATTCTGTTTGATGGCCAAGGTGCTGAAGTGAGCGGACCTGTAGGGCCAGAAGGGATACAGAACGGTCACAATCCTGAAGAGAGTGGCTGACAGTGCTGGCTCGTTGTATTATGAAGAGACAGCAGCAGGGTGTGAGTGGTTAAAAAGAGAAACCTGTTTTAAAAGGCATATGGGTAAACATTTGAACAGCACATCGTGATGAAAATCCTTAAAATGTTGAATTCATTAATACATGACAAACCGTACAACCATTTTTTACCATCTTCCAAAACATAATTTAGGTTCAAACAAAATCTATCATTTAGGTGCCCATTATTTTAAGTAATTACCATGCTGGCAGTATACTCCAAACAGAGACAAACAAGCGGTGCATCTATCACCAACAATATGCCCCATATTTATTTGGCTTTGATAGTCGCATATGGCAAAGCTTTGACTAGCTACTGTTGAACATTTTAACTTAATGAACAATGAAAGCGCACTAATCAGAGTGTCATTATATGGTACAAATAACAGTAATATGAAAACACGCTAAATTCATATTATCTTGGGAGTATACTGTTGGTATTGTGTGATGTAAAAGAACAAACAAGATTAAACGTTTAAACCTGTAAATCGAAAGACCCGAAACCTTCACCGTGGCACCTGCAAAGCAATAGTATGGCCACCACCGAGACAGTGTTAGAATCATGAAGGGACAGAGCATGTTCATATTAAACCGAGCAACAGGATTTCCAGGTGACAGCTCAGATGCTGCATTTGACTCCCAAGACCAGTTGTGTGCATTGAAAGTCACAGCAGACCCATTATTCTCTGCCACTTCCACGCCACATGCTCAGTGTGCGTTAAGTCAGCCCCCCCACACCTCACCTGTCGAGTCTTCGGCACTGGAAGTGGATGGAGGACAGGAGTAGCAGCACGCCTGTGTTATCAGGCTCCTGCCTCCATAGCTGCATGCAGTGGCGCTCAGCTGCCTCAAAGTCCCCTGACTGATACTCCCGATGCGCCAGCTCAGCCAACCCTTGGAAGGAAAGCATACGTTTTGTCGGTTCTGGAGCACCAACACAGCCCAAGGAGGGGGGGAAACAACATGTTAGAGGTGATGGAAGAAATTAAAGCAGACAAAAGAAAACAAAAAATAAATAAAGAGATGAAGCTAATGCTGTCAATGACAGATAATGGCTAACAATTTGAATTCAAGAGAAAACAAGGCATTGGGTAAAATAAAGGAAACACTGAGATCAAGTGCCTCAATTATGTGAAATCTTTGGTAATTTTACATTTTAACTTTATTTCTTGTGGTCACCATTGGATTAAAAAAAAAAATCAATTCTCTTTTCAATTGCAGCAATTATTGTTTGTTTTTTACTGCATAACATGTAAAGCTGTCTTTGAATTGAATTGCTCACATAACTGCCTGTAACATGTTTAAATTATTTAAGTTCCCTTTCAGAATAGAAACTGCATACTTGTGCACAAATTTTTATGCTTTATCGTAAACGTTTTAGTGTGAGAATGATTTCAAACAAGATCACCTTGCGGAAAAACCTTTGTTGCAGCTAATTATTTGAGGTTGTCAGAACCGCAGTGTGCTTTCTTGCACAGTTTAACCTTTTTTTGTATATCAGTAAAACATATTTAGTCAAATTCTATTTCATATAAAAGCAAAACCAGGGTTTCCACCCACAATAAAGCAAAAGGTAACACAACAATATTGATGCATGAGATGAAAAAACAAACGGGAGGGGGGGAATGGTACACTGGCAGGGATCAGAAGGGCTGGTGATACTTTGGATTTCACATTTTAAAAGATGAATCTATAGCTTGACAGTACAGCTGCCAAGTCACATTTCAATAGCATGCCGCCTTAAAAATAGAAAAACTGGGTCTGTAAATGAGGATTTTATTTGAATATTATATTTTCATCCTGCAGAGTCACTTTGAGGTGAATTTATTCTGGGTGTGGCAAAAATGGTTTAGGGACATTCCAGCTGACACACAGTGGATCCACACCCACCTGCAAACAAATGCTATAATGCCGAATGAAAAAAAAAAAAACCCCTACATATATAATAGCAGTAGATCAGGTTCATCCATCCATTACGTCATAACGCGTGTGTGTGTGTGTGCGAGAAGGATGGATAGTTTCAATTACATAAACCGACCGCTCACAACGCACGGTTTAATCAATCAATCAATGACCACGATCGGATATCAATCCCGTTGATATCAGCTTCAGGATAAACTACGAAAGCACAGACAACAGCAGCCTTTAACCTTGGGAATCTGCGCCGAGCGGTGATGTCTGCAGGGCCCTGGTTGTGTCTGTGGCGATAATGAGCACAGGCGCTTATAACTGTTATCAGAAGCAAAGGCAGGGATGTTTTAGGCGGTGGAAGCCATTTTTATTTTATTCTTCCCCCCTCCTTTCCCTCTGGTCACTCAGAAATACAACGACATCTGGATGTCACTCGGGCTACACTTCAAATAGCTAGCTAATGCAAACTGTCTGTAGGCAAAAAAACCCCATTACGTAAACGTGATAACGTCACGTCTGTGAATTGTTAACACAGCGTTTGAACATTTACACACAATCGTGGGTCGTCAACTATTTTTTTTATGTGTTCTTTGCAAACGAATTGCTTCAAATCATGCTAACCTAGCCACATTACCATTAGCCCGAGACTGAATAGATCACGCATTAACATTAACTGGGCCTGTGTAGCCACCGTAAACAACATTAAATAGCTTTAAAAAAAACCGAATAAATACACTTCAGTAGCTTTAATAAACGCTGGCTGGATAATTTGTTCACCAGCGAGCTCGATCGAAGTAGCATTGTTAACGCGAGCTATCATGCTAAGCTAACTTTAGCCACCATCAACCTACCTGTGCTGTCAGCCACGTTTCCCACTGAGGTCGCCATCTCCTCAGTCTTCGTGTCTTTCACGGTGGTCGTCAATGTGTCTTCTGGTAGGTAACAGTTTCAGAGAAATATATAATGTGCGACGAGCCGTCGTCTTTCTCGGCTGCGGCCAGCAAACACGTTGCCAGGCGAGCTAACTAAGCTAACCTAATCTTTGATTTACCGTTTCCTCGCACAGCGCGCAGTAAAGAGCTCCCAGTGGTCGCTATATAGCTGCGTAATAATTCATCAACTAAACTCACTACAGTAGCTAACTTTTCACCTGCATTAAACGTGCTGTTGTTTTACGGTCCGAGCTGATTTTCTCGTCACAACAAAGCAGCTAAGCTATGGAGCATAAAATGGCGAAATGGGAGGAACTAGTTTATGAGAGAAAGTAGATCCGCGCATCGCCGTTACGAGGAAACGTGTGTGTAAAAATGTAATAAACGTCGTACCAGCGAAATAATCATTCACAGGATGCGTGTTTGAAGTATTGTTATTAACCGTGCGTTATGAGTTTCATCCGGTAAAATAAACCGATTATGAATGATACCGCGCGGAAGAACACATTGGTGCAGTGAGACAGAGTGCAAATGAGTAATGTTCTAGAAAAAGGCAGCATCAGTGCTTCAAAGATTCATAGGGATGTCTTCCTTGTAGATTTTAAGCTGGCATGTCATCTAAATATGTAGTCTGCAGTCTGAAAGGTCACAGATCAAAATAACATTGCAGGTTAATCATATCATACAATAATGAGTTTGTTAAAAGTAGCCTACTTTAAAATGTAGGCTTGTATTTAATATTGTAGGCCTGCATGTACCACACTGTACATTTAAATTATAAAATGTATGTTACCTTAACACAATGATGTACACAACCTGTATACATTACAGCACCCGAATACAGATTCCACCATCATTTATCTTGCATTTTGATGATAGATAAGATAGGCCTAAAGAAAATGCAGGTAGCTTTGTGTTAGTTGAGATATTAATCCTCCTCTGGGAATGACGCAAGTACTGCAAAAGTAAACAAGGAAGACATACTGGAGCCGTTTTGTATAGTGTAACAGTTTGGGTAACATGCACAACCATGCATTTCTTTATCAAGCAGGACAGGGACAAATTCATTACATCAGAATCAGGTTTGTTGGCAAGTAAGTTTTCACATAAAAGGGATAAGCCATGGTACATATGGAGCATAAGGATCTGAATCAAGTGTGGAAAAATATGAATAAAGATAAAAGATAAAAATGGAAAGGAGCCACTATATACAAATATAAGGCGAGAGAGAATATGTAGAAAATGGCCGGATACATAAATAAGTGAGTAAAGAGCTGTATAGAAATGTGGGGAGTCATATAATGATATTTGCAATGTGCAAGATTAAAAAATCTACAAAAG